AAAGGAGCCAGTTTTGAGCTCCTACTTTTGCAATTAATTTTTGGGTCTTGCCATAAGCCGTTTTAATGGCCCTCACATAAGGCGGAAATATGGCCAGTCAAAGTCAAAGTCAAATACGGCTCGATATTAACCATTATGCCGGATGGCAATGTTTAATTTTCTGATTACACACATGTGCTGGCGGTGGCCGAAAACGGGAACAAACCGGAAAATTGCAACGCACACACAAAATTTCTAATTCTAATTATGAACAATAAACGAAGACTGGCTGAAAAGCCTTATAAATGGTTTCACTTCATAATCCATTCGACCCCATAACCGCCCATCCTCCAAACGGGGCCATTTACGAAAAGAATTAATATTCAGATTTATGGATTAATAACATTGCCAACGGTTCTGGGCTCTTGGGGTCAACTTGTGTTTATCGTTTAATTAGGAACCACGACCATATCAAGATTTCCAGCCACATGTGACCACTCTCTGCCATTGCTACTCAAAAGTTGCATAATTAATGTGTCCATGAAGCTGGATTTGGGATATTTTGGGAGAGTGTGACTAAGTAATAGCCTCGTAATACTGCTCTATATATTAATAAAACAATTTAGTTTTATTGGACTACCGAAATTTGGCAGCAGTTGCTGGTTGTAAATCATGATTCCTATAATTGGGGGTTGGTGTTAATAAGAATACTAGTTGTTGTCCTAAAGATCATATCAAAGCTAAGCCTTTCTGGATAGAGGTTTACCATTTAATACATTTCATAAACTCCCACTGTATGTTCCCAAAATCAAATAAAATGTCTTAATTTTTATACAAATTTTATGACACACTCCACGATCTCAATATTCCTTTGGCAATCAGCGCATATGTCATAAATCAATTGGTTTGGGGCAAGAATGGAGAAAAGACGGCGGGCGGCTCTCATAAGTTACACAGGAATTTGGCAAGCCCAGCGGCGTCAATAAATAAACAAAAAGAGGCGTATAAGGTATGGCCATGGAAGTACGGTCTCCAAGGACAAAACTATCCGCTAGAAATCCAACCAATCCACTTGCCTCTCAAACATTTATTTATGGGCTAGCGAGCCAAAGGAAATTTACATTTTCCACAGGCTGGGCAAATGACCCACGGTGGTGGTGCCTCTGTCTCCTTCCCCCACTGCTGAGGGAAAATGGGAAATGGAAAAGTGGTGCCCCGAGTTGAGTGGTTCAGTGGCAACGCAATCAAACGCCGTCTATCGGGATACAGGATTCCACTTTTTGTGCTTTTCCGCTTTTTGGCAATTTTCATACACATGCGAGTGGCGCTATAGCGACGCGTTTCGCCATTTCGGGCCAACATATATCATTGTCTGGCCAGCCAGCCAGGCAGCTATAGAAGACCCCCGTTAGAACTATACAAAAAAAATTCAGGAATACCAAAAACTGACTCGAGGCGAGTCGAATTCAACCTGCCGCCATTTTCTGATTTATGATGCTATTTAGATTTCACGTGATTCGTTTTCAATGCGCGCCACTCTCGTCCACTGCCAAAGATAGAAATAAAAGAAAAAATCGCGACCAATAAATCCCGCGAGGGCAACAGAACCAAAACTGGTAACTGAAAAAAAAAGCATTCGAGAAAAAAATGAAACTAGAAATGAATCTGAATGCTAAAAATTACAACACACAGCTGCGTGTGCATAAATCTCCCACCCAACACAGTTTTAGAAATTCAAAATAAAAAAGAGATGTCTTTGAACCCATTCAAAATTCAATTCGTTGCAAATTCAATTTCTTCGTTTAGGCTTATCATCTATTAAAAGCAAACGGCAACATGTTTAGCATGAAATTGGTGGAAATTCGGGAGCTATCCGAACACTCCTTCCCCCTTCAATTATGAGTTTGGCAATTCGATTTGCATACAATCGTCGGGCATGAATAATTGGGGGAATCTACCGACCCGAACAATTTGCTCATCAAGTTCATGAGCCTGCCCGATTGACTTTGAATATTAGCTAAATTGTGTGGGGGTAGAAGGGGGGTCAGAGGTCCTGGATGGCGGCAGCTGTAATTGACATGCAAACGCATTTCCGGGCCTCTGATTTGATTTCCATGTTGTTGTTACGCATATGATTATTGCTCCGTGAGGGCCTCGCTCATGTAATTCATTTGATTAATTATAGTCCGCCATCAGTTATTGCTCCCCGGTTGGATGTTGGACAGTGTGTGTGTGTATGTTAATACAAATTAATTAATCTTCGCAATATTGCAGCTAGACTGAGATTGATTGCAGTCGCGAAATGGCAACATTTTGGCCAAGTCGCTAAGTCTGAAAGGAAAGCTGTTTCTTCAAGCTAAAGTATAGTTGGTCCATTCTGTTTTCAGTTAATAATCCCCCACACTGATGATTTTAAAATAAAGCCTCAAAAAACACATCGATGTTGTTGGCAAACATAAAAAATCTCGACACGTGTTTAGTTAAGACCTTAAGATGGAAAACATATCCCAACAGCCCATATCAACCCCCAGAACTGAGCCCTAAAACTTTCCCTAATGGCCCTCTGGCAGTCAAAACAAAATCCCACGATTGTAAATTCTTTAAAATTGTTATCTCATCGCTTAGATTTTGTAATTTTTTGGCGCATAATTTACATGAGCATTAAACGAGTGGCGGAAAGGAAAAGAACCTTAGCCCACTCACATGAATGATGAGGCGACGGCACGCGGCAAACCGCAAAAACACCGCCCCCTCGGTACCGCCCCTGCTTCCACCACCCCCCCGGATGGCAACTATTAAACGCTTAATGGCAATTTCATTGTACATCATATCTGATATCGGATATCCAAAAGCCGAAAGCCGATGTCGGCGGACAGTCCCAAGGCCACATGTTTGCCGTGATTACAAGAGAGTTGACACGCCGCCTGGTCGGTGTGGACACGTGATCCGGTCACGTGTCACCAATTCGCTTGCAGGCCACAGCCGAAAATGGTCAAGAGTTATAGAAGACTTCCAATACCCTCTAATAGTGTTAAGATATTTATCTAATATTAAAATTTATTTAAATTAAACCAAGAATTTCAATTTTACATGTGTACAAAAAGTATAGCATGGTTTTAAGGGCAAAGCCTTGAAGATAACCCATATAGTTAAATAAATAGTATTACTATATAAAAATATTAAAAACATATGCATACTTAATAAATAACAAACTAATATTTATTTCAATAAAGCATTTAATAGTCGTTGTGCTTTCCACATTTTTCTTTCACTTTGTTTTCATTTCATAATGTAATCAAATTATGAAAATTATACGAGACCTTCAGTAAGTCAAGTTGGCAACAATTTTGACTGATTGTTTTCGCACGACCCCCCCTGAGACTGCCAACCCGGGAAGGCCTGCTGTGATTCACTTGAGGCACCAACCCCTTTTGTGGGCAAAAGCGAGAGGTGTGGCGGTTAAATGGGGGAACAGTGAACGGTGGCGGGCAAACAAATTATATTTAAAATCCCGGTCCCAGTGGGTTGCATTGGCCCAGTGGGTGCTTTTGGGTTTACGTTTCAACGCGCAACCACTCAACCTGCCACGGACCGGGCTGAAATACGGCTCCAATTGGTTATCCGTTTGGTGCCCGTCCTTTCCCCGGAGTCATCATCATCATCTCCAATGGGCTCGGATCCTGGACCGCCCGCTGGGCTTTGCTTATTACTTTCGAGCTGCTCTTAAACTCGACTACTGTCTTTTGGGGTTAAGCTAAGTTTTTGCGCCCCTTCTCCATCAAATGACACATCACGAACTTTTTTAATTTGTTTATGATAATTTACGGATTATGTAATAGGCACTGACACGATTGCCAGTCATTTATTATGAAATGTTTCTGGGGAAAGAAACAAATGGTTTAATAAATAATATTAATGAAATGGATGTACATTATAAAGTGTACTTTTTAATGGAATTAATATCCATTATCTCAATACAATTTTTAAAATTGAAACATTTTATTCTCCTTCCTTAAAATTTTTAAAATCAAATCAAATGTGATTCCTTGGGGGAGATATTCAATGACATTATTTGCCAATAAGCCCAAAGGTCGGCCAACCCAAAAAGGTAAAGGAAGCTCGAACTAAAATCAATCGTAAAATAGTAATAAATATTTATACCTAGGCTATTGTTGGTGCAACACATGTAAAGATTATAAAAATGAATTTTTATTGTTGACCGAAGAACAGCATCAGCATCCCCATCTCTTCGGCCTACCCTCTTGGCGAAATTTTAAAATCAAAAATTGACGATTATGCAAAAATACGAAACATCCTTGTGGGGACAGCGAATAAGCACACATGACTACGCCCCTGAGTATGACATTTGTTTTATGCCCCGTTCAGGTTGCGGCAGCATAAAAACCGCAAAAGAAATCCGCAACAGACGGCAACCTCAACACAAACCTCAACCTGAATTGGGCCTAAAACAACACATGAGCGAAGTGAAACGGCCACGCGATAAAAGTTAAATATGCAAAGATGGAAATCTATAATTTTTTATTGGCCCAAATCCTCTGCAATGGCGCGACTTTATGCCGGGCCTGGCTAATTCGCCCTTCTGGCCCAATTTGTTGCGGTTCTTTCGCCGACGTTAAGGAGATTTTTGCACAATTTTTACGATTCGCGATTTGCACGAATTATACTGATGTTCTTACGTACATTGTTTTTATAGTTTTACAATATGGCGACCCGATTGTGGTATCAAAATTTCATTTTCTCTTGTTGGGAATCCAATTATATTTTCAGAACTCTCGAATTTTTCATGGTTTTTATTGAGTAGAAAATGAAGTCGTACTTTGATGTTTTAATTTAAAAGCGAGAATCAAGTTTTACACTATACTTATATTCACAAAATACATACTTGTGTACTATTGGGTTTTATTTGAAAAAGAAACTATACTGACAAGATCTTTATAAAAACCATTCTTTATTTGATGTTAGCCTAAATCTAAGGTACCACCGTATCCAGTTTGGAGACCTCAGCAGCACTTTGGACAGCACGAACGCGGACCCCTGGCGCAGGCACAGCAGCAGGCTCGACCGATTTTCGGGGCCAGCCAGGAGAACCAGGACGGATCCAGGCAGGACTCACACCAGGGGCCACAGCAAGTTTCGGGGAGTAACCCACAGCAGGGTGTACAGCATCCAAAGCAGCCACTCGAGCATATATATGAGCATGGTCCGCCACAGCAGATTCCGCAGGAGGATCTGCAACAAAATCTGGGTGGGCAACGAGGTTTGCGACAGGTTCCTCTCATGCACATCGTCCAAATAGACTAGAATATGCTTTAATTTGGCCTTACAGAAATTCTTACACAAAGGACAATGGGTTCCGAAGAAGCTGTCTACTTTGATTCCGTATGACCTAAGGACATTTTTAAGGACAAGTAAAGACATTTTTGTTGTTGATATTTTGAGAAAATTGTCACTTACAATAGACATATGAATTAAAGTAGAAAGCCTCGCCGGATTTGCTAACGTTGGACAATTTTGACAATGAAAAAATAATCAATGGTTGCTAAATAGTCTTTAATAAAATGCTGGCATAATGTTTAAATGGTACGTTTAACCCTTTTCTGGTTTCATATTTTCTTGGCTTTAAAAGATACCAACCCCACCCAATTGAAGACCACTTAGGTTAATGGTAGAACACATAAATGAAATCATAAATAAAGTCGCAGCTTTGATTTACTTGCGTTGACAACAGCACAACATTAAATTAAGTGCACTAAACCAAGAAAAAAGAGGCAACGGCCCAGGATAACCCCATGGCATCTTCTCCCCGGGATTCAACGAAGCGTAAACCATTTGGGGATGGGTAAGTGGAAATTGCGCATTAGCCTCGCCTGCCAGTGGATGCAACCAAAGCGAAATGGCACAGATAATACACACCGACACAAAGACGACAGGAAACGGGGCAAACAGGCAATCGATTCGAGAAATCAAACATATCACTGATTTCCAGAGGAAATCAAATAGACAAACTAATGAATCCATAAGGTATCTAGAACATCCTTTTGCTAGACATTTAAGATTTAATAATGTTTCATTTAAAGAGATAAAAATTCTTTAAATGGTATGTAAGACCCCTCTGGAGTTGGGACATTAAATTGGCATTCAACGAGAACCATAAATGTAGGCAATTAAAATCTTATTTTCGCTTATTACGTTTTCCAGCCACACCCCCGCATTTCACAGGTGTGTGCCACTCCCTTGCTCCTGCACTCCGCCAATAAACACGTCTAAAAATTTTAGCCCAAGAATTTGTCGCCTTGCCCTGGCCACCTGTTCCCCAAAAGCAAAAAAAATTATTTTTTTCTCGCTTTTCCATTTTGGGTAATTGAATCATTTTAGCGCCATTTATTTTGTTCAGGATTGCAGAGGTTGTTGCAAATAGGAGTGAGTGGAGGTCCTTGGAAAGCGTGACATTTGTAAAACAATTTCTATTTTGAAAATGAAACAAACGCCGGATCTGCGCGGGTGGAACAAACATAAATAATAATGCGTTAAACTTATGCGTTGATTAATGTGGAGCAGTCAATCTCGCTCAGAGCCAGACCAGGGGGCTTATAGCACCCTCTAGACTTGGCTCTCAGGTGTGACCAGTTGGGGGGATGTGGCAGGAAAATCTTCAGTTCATATGAATACTCGATTGGGTGGGCAAAATCCTTGAAAAGTATTTGAAAAACTTTTGAATTGTAAATCTGAGTTAAGCGATTTGTTGATTTTTGATTGATTTGTTATGTTCTTTTTGGGATGAATGAATATTAGTATTTTAATAATACTAAAACTATTGCCTTCTTTGATAAACCTCTCAATTAACCACAACTAATATTTGTAATCTCTATTACCCCCTATAGTTACCATTAAGACAGTTCTCTTAAACCAAAATCCATCTAATTAATTGAAAGTGATGCACTCACTCTCCATCCCCTGGTTGGCACTCCCCTAGCTTCTTTGGTGCAAAATACTTTCGCATTTAGCGGAACGTTTATTTCATTATTACGCCTAGGGTAACCCGGAAGGGAAGATCCACAAAACCGAAGCGGAAAAGTCAAATTGAAAAAGTCAAAAAGTTACCATTTCCCCCTCGATAAAGCGAAGGACACCCATGGGGTGGGCGAAACACCACCCCAAAAATCATCGCCGGGGTGGGCCATCGCATCATCGGCGAACTAAAAACCGGAACGGAAGCAGCAAACGAGCAGCAACAAGAAGGATATCCGGTCGCAACCACCAAAACCGTAGACAAAAGGCTGACACTTGTGTCCTCCGCCCAAAACACCCCACCCCGCTCTAGACCCCACCCCCCTGCCTCATCGACCCTCAAATCACATGCATAAGGTTTTTAAGTTTTGTGCTTTGTCATACAAGTGCGTGGAGGACGATCTGCAGATACAGTTGTAAAGATATGGTAACAGGCGCGTAATGTGACAGCACTGCTCGGCAATGGGCACGAATCTGGTCCGGAATGGGACGGCCTAGGAGGATGTGGCTGTGGGTGTGCCAGGGGTCTGACACGATGGTACACATGTTTGGGCGTTGTCAGACGAAATCGGGTGGGGAATGGGGATTGTGTCGTCCCACAAGGAGGAAATGGGGGTTCCAGAGAGGGGCGATCTAAGGAATATCTTTAGGGAGCTAGATTTCAAGGAGCGAAATTTCATTATTAAAACTAAAGATCTATAAAGAATTTTTGTTATAAAACATAGAACCCCGGCCTTGTATAAGACTGAAATTTTATAACCTTAAGAACTCCTCTTCCCACCCACTCTCAGCCTTTTTGACAGACAAGTTAGAACCACACCACATTGTCCCCCGTCACCTCAAATTACCTCACCTCCCACTCATATTATGTGAACGATTTTTGTTGACATTGCCGCCTTGTTTACACGAATTTTGCGCCATACCCGGCCACCCATACAGACAAATGTTTAGATATCATTTTGCGTAAAGCTCGTACCAGAAAAAGCCATGGGGGTACGAGGACTTATCGACTAAATGCTGGGCAAATAGTTGCCGGGGTAATTGGAACAGAGAGCTACGTGGAACATTTATTTACCTTTCGATATGATATTTGCACAATGCTGGGGACTGGAAAAGCTGGCACTGGACGAGAGTGGCGGCGGAGGAGGAAAATCAATGCTGCACTTCATTGAGACCTTGAGAAGAAATTTAATTAAGGAACAGGTGACAATGCCGGGGGGCAGGAAGTGCAGATTTCCTTCGTGGGGGATCATAAATCAAAGTTCCAAGTGGAGCCGAAACTGGAGGGAGGAGAGTGGGGCAAGTGCTCCGAGGCGACTGCTGCAAGTGTCAGCAACATGTGGCCTGAAGCAGAAAAAAATCCAGAAAAATAAAATGAAAAAATGGTATAAATAACGAAAAAAACGAATCGCAGTAATCAAAAAATGTCGCGGACTTCTCTTCGTCTTTTTTCACTTTTGACATGGTCAAGTTTAATTGAAAAAATAATACAACAAAATTTGCTATAAAAAAATGAAGGAAGGCAGCCAACTTTTAACCTCGGCAGCTGCTGCAGCCCAAGCTCATAATTAGAAAATCTTCCAAAGAGAAGCAGAGCCAGAGAGAGTGAAATTAATTTATTCTTATAATTTTTTTTGTATACTTTTAATTGAAATTTTTTTTTTATTTTTTTTATTTCCTCTTCCCTCCTACCCTGAATTGAGCATTGCAGATAATTTTAATAACCTGCCCTATACACCGAAGGAAGCAGGATGGCCAAAGGATGCGACGGTAATTGCCGTGGCCAAATCGCATGATAAGCAAATGTGGAAGGCACGGGCAAGGTGAACCACCGTTCCACCCAAAAGGGTTACTTTTCTGGGTCTTTTATTAACAAATTTCACTTTATTTACGCCGCACGTTATGCTATAATTAATAATCAGGCTGCATGGGTACTAAAACTCCGCAAGGGCAGTTGATTAAATTAGACACAGTTCACGCGAAATTTTCCAGGATATGAGTGGTGCATTTTTGGGTTAAATATCGGTTGAAAAGGGTTCGACTTTGTGGGTGACTTTTGTTGACATTCATGGGGAGGTGGAAATTATTTTTTTGGGGTTGTCAAGAATTAAATACATTTCGATCGCGATATATGGGATCGGAAAAATATATACATCTCTGTGATGAGAGCTCCGAGTAGCTTAAACCCTCATTCAAAACCTTTCTTAAATACCGTTTTGAAATTTTTCGAATTTTTTCCTGGGGTATCCCTTAAAAAATCTGAAATTACGATTTTCTCCATATTTCGCCCTTCCTCTTGCCATAGCTGCTACAATTTACATCGGATCGAAAAAATATATACATTTCTGTGTTGAGAGCTCCGAGAAGCTTAATCCCTCATTCAAAACATTTCTTAAATACCGTTTTGAAATTTTTCGAAATTTTTCCAGGGGTACCCCTTAAAAAATGGGCAATTACGATTTTCTCAATTTTGTGCCCTTCCTGTTGCCATAGCTCCTGCAATTTACATCTGATCGGAAAAGTATATACATTTCTGTGATGAGATCTCCGAGTAGCTTAATCCCTCATTCAAAATCTTTCTTAAATACCGTTTTGAAATTTTTCGAATTTTTTCCAAGGAAAAAATCTGAAATTACGATTTTCTCCGTTTTTCGCCCTTCCTGTTGCCATAGCTACTACCATAGCTTTCTCCATTTTTCGCACTTTTGTAGTCGTGGTAAGGACTTGACGCCATCTATCCTTCAAGTTTAGCATAAAAGCTTTCATATATGTCACGCTTTCATCAGAAGGTTTCAAGCTTATTTGGATGGTTCATGAAAAAGTTATTCCTTTGGAGAAAACACCCTTTTGCCTTTCATGTATTCTTAATATTGTTTAAAAGCGTATTTTAAATTTATAATCTTAGTTTCTAAGTTTTATTTATCATCGCCTTTTTTAGTTCATATTAATTTTGTCACTATTTATTTTTGATTGAATCATAATAATATTATCTCTATAAGTCAATTAATCATGTATCCATCTATGGGGCTAATAAGACTACAAAACTAGTCACAAAACAAGCTTTATTTTATAGTTAGTGAGTATTTAGGAATCTTTATTTTCGTATTTCTCCATGACATCCCGGGCCAATTTCATCTCTGCCAGCAGAGCTCTCATTTGGACCCGATCAAAAGTGAGAACATGCGTGGTATCCTGCGGTAAGCCATCAACCAGTTCTTGCGAGATTTTGAATTCCAAGGTGGCACAATTGGGTGGCGTTGTGTCCGGGGAGGATATATCCCGAACGCTTTGCAGTTCGTTGACTAAAAAAAAAATTTCGATAATTATCCTAAAGTATATGAAGTAATATAAAGTATTTTTGAAAACCCACTGCTAAATGCTTTATCCATTAAAGTTTGGCGTATGGAAGAGGAATGTTTCTGAAGCACTCGACACATGGCAGCGGCATGGTCCTTGGGCAGTCCCAGTTGCTGGATCTCCTCTCCGAATATTGCTTCCGTGCAACTAAATCTAGCAGCACTGCTTAGCATAAAGTGTATACAGGCTACAGCGGTTTTGCCCTCATTGGTAAGAGTGGCAGTTAGTTCTTTAATTTTTGCTTCCTAAAACGAAAATATAATGTTGAAAAGTATTCAAGAAAGGTGACAGTTATAATGTACTTACTTCAAAAGCTTGTCCACATATTCTGAGAGCCACCAGTTCGCTGAGCTGCTCCAGGTTTTCAATACTCAAGTTGGAAAGCGTGGATATGATCTCAGCCAACACCCAATCGGGACAGTCGCCTTCGCCACAGAAACGGAATTTCTGAAAACATATATGTTTACATTTTATTTCTTATTTGGAAACAAATAGCTTAATATAGCCGCGGTTAGCTCAGCCACATTTCTAGGACAAATATACGCCCACAACCCAGTCAACCCATCACGTTTCTGCGTAAATTAAAGACTTGGGACTTCAACCTTCTAAAAAGCTAATAAGAAAAAACTTGAAACGGGGAAAGGTTACGTTACTTTCTTTATACCCTATTATTTTTATGAAAAAAAAAACGTGAAAATCTTTCAGGTTATTAAACCATATTTCACGGGAAATGACAACCACTCGATGATAATTTTATTTAGGGCACAAATAAACTCTCGTGTGCATTTTTTAGACGCTCCTTCCAAAACTAATGATACCCTTTAGCTAGGATAGAAGGAACTCCCACGACAGCAACAACAGTGCCCGTGAAGGAAAAGAAAAGTCGACAATATTTGCATATGATTAATTTCATACGCTTGCCTGCTAATCAGCCAGCAATTTGTACAAGTGGCGAGCACAAAAAAAGGGGTTAGCTTGGGCGGTGTTGGGTTGTGGGTGGCAGTGTGACGAGGACTCTCGCATATAAGGCAACCCCGTTTCGGGAGCTCGTCTCAGTTTCAAGTGCACGTCACGTTTATCTCTGGGCAGGATTAATAAAGTGAAAACTCCTTGGCGGCGGAAGGGAAAGTGAGTTAAGCGAGTGAAAATTTATGACACTTGTTGCCATTGTCTGGCGGAAAATAGGGAAAAGCGGTTAAGTGGAAAGAGTCGAGCGGCAAGCGGCAAGTAGCACACTGCCACGCTTATTAATACGCACTCGTATTTATTTAGCGACGTGTGTAACGGCTTAGAAAATGCGAACGACAAACGTTTTATAATTATTTTATGGACTTCAAAGTTCTGGCTGGTGGGTGGGCGAGTGCTCCTACTCGGATCGAGTGGCTATATAAGCCACGTTACGCGCCCTAAGCCATCGCAGTTGGCCGCGAGGATTAACAGGCATCACCAACACCAGTTCGTCCTTTGGAAAATGCAGTCCTGGCCGCTTTGGATTCTGGTCTTAGCCCTCGGGCGTCAGATTTACGGAGCTAGTGTGGCGGCTCCAGCCACTGGATTGGACACTGAACTAGGCACATGTGAACTGCAGCTCTCCAAGTACCGCAGATTCATCCTGCAGGCGATTCTCAGCTTCGAGGATGTGTGTGATGCGTACAATGCACGACCAGGAGGTCAGGAGGATAACGAGGGCTGGCTCTTCAGGCACTATGCCCCACCACCGACATCACAGCGGGGCGAGATCTGGGCCTTCTTCCGGCTACTGATGGCCCAGTTCAGTGACACGGAGTTCACCTCAATCATCCGGGATGCGGTCATCGAACGGTGTCGCATCAAATCGCAGCTCCAGCGGGACGAGAAGCGCAACTCGGTGGTCCTGGGCAAGAAGCAAAGGTTCCATTCTTGGGGCGGCAAGAGGTCCTCCTTACCGTCGGAGTCGGACTACTAAATAATGTTTTGTTTTCCACGTAAATGTATGCAAAGCCAAGTCGAAATCCTCACCTAAATATCACTTAATGTCTAAATAAACTTAAAGATTGCAAGCCGAGCAGCGGCTAAAATAATTTTTGTTTTATTTTATTTGAAAAACTAACCATTTTGAGCCTGTGCGGGTTGTAAAGGAATTTTCTAAGCTAAAAGTGGAATAATTTGTTTATTTACTTTTGTAAATTATTTCAAAGTGTGCCCAAATAATTATTTGTAAATTATACCAAACTTATTTTGATCTAGCTATTTTTTTAATATTTGTTTTATAAAAATTTCAAAAAAATGTTCTTTATAGAAAGAAAAAACCTATATTCACAAGCTATTAAAATTTTATTTAATTAATTTCTTAAAATCTGAAAGATAGTTATTATTTTGGTTGCCAGCCTTTCGAAATTATTTACACAAACCATTTTCGAAAAGGTTTGTGTACTTGCTAATCGAAATATATTTCCTTAACTTGAGAGGGAGATTTTAAAAAAGATACTGTTCTTTTGAAGAAAGTTTTCAGCAATGATTAAGATAAAGGTTTAAATTTCAGAAAATATATTTATGGAACTAAGTTCCTATTTATTTATAAAATTTTTATATTAAATATCTAATAAACTGTCAATGTATCAACTTTGATCTAAAAAGATTAATTCTAACATTTCATTAAAATAAACGTTCGATTACCTACGAAAAAATTACTTGTTTCAAATTTCTGCTAATCATGACAACTATCTTGGCAATTTAGCCTTATCTGGCGATCGGGAACTAAACGCCCACCAAAACACACCCCTTTGAACCATTGGGGGACCCACCTCGCCGTATCAATCACCCGTATCAGAATAGTGCTGATCCAGTCGGTTTTTGGAGCAACATTCGGGACCTTCGAGAAGCCCGAGTCCGGCTACTATAATCCCGCACTGGAGGAGGTGGGCACAACAAACCCATAAACCTTGTCTATAAATATAGTAATACCAACTAGACATGGGAATCGTGGGCGACGGGGGGTGGATGGATGGGTGTGTGGCTGATTGTTTGTTTGTCCATGTGCTATTAATTATCTCATCTGTCTCGGCTGTGGGCCTTTGGGCCTTTGCTGCTGGACACGCTGAAAACAAATGTTAACTAATCGCAACAGCCTGCCCAGAAATCTAAATTCGAAATCGTTAAACTGACTGATAGTGTCCCAATACTATAAACGCTGGGGATCCGAGATCCGAGCAACGTGAGTGATTTTTTTCCAGCCCATTTGACAGCGGCGCCAAAGCCAGACTTGGGTCCTCAGATTAGGTCTTAGAAATTGCAAATCTGTGGGATTTTACAGATGATCCCTGATAGAAGGGCTAATGCCACTATCAACCGTGATTAGGTGGGCGTGGGCTGAGCCGATTGGTAAACAAATCCGGAAAGTAGTCGTTGTCCAAGCGCAGCGCAAAGTTCCATCTAAAAATACCTGATCGGATTTGGTAACAGGTCGCATTTCTATTTAAAGCCTTCAATTGATGATCTATTGACCCCCCAAGGCGGAACTCGGTCTGATCGATCAGTCGCGTTGCATCCACATAGCAGGTGCCTGCAGGTGTACCCCAGATTCACGTTAACTCAAGGTAGCCTGATAAAAACTAAACTGCAGCAAAATAAACAACGTATTTTAAGACCCTTATCGCAAAGATTGGAATTTTAAATACGGTTTTATTTATCAATTAATGAATATTAAAAATGTATCGATTTCAGATCTAGTTAGTCAAAGTATATCAGTGCAAAAAAATCAAAAATAGATGGTCTATATAGTAAGTAAATATAAGACAAACATCAAGCCGGACTTTCTCCTCTTATGTATGTGGCTCAGTTTAATATGCATTATTCATGTTCATTATATTTATTAATTGACCTTCGCCCTTGGCACACCTCGCACCTCCCCTTTGTACCATCTTCCACAAAATTGATGAAGAAACTAGGCCATCACCGTATACAGAGCTGATAACAGGCCATCCGGCTGATTAAACCTTGCCGGGGAGATTCTTGAGGAAAACCAACAAAAATTATGATCAACACAATTTCGAATTTAGTCATTGAACTTCACAGCGAAAAGGATGGAGCATTCAAAAACAATACGAGGAAGTGAGAAGGCAGTATTTTTGATTAAATAAATTATTTTAGTTTGTCGCGCGCCTGGCTAGCAACAACAATTTAATCTATACCCATATATAGTACATATAAAGCGCCAGAAAACAAATTTGTTCTTAATCAACGACCGATTAGGCAGGGTAATGATCAAAATAATTAATAAAAATATGTTAAATGAAAGAGACCGTTAAATTAAGTTTACACCCACACCATATATATTAAAATAATATTAAAACATCAACCTTCTAAGAGAATTTTCCACTAACAAATGCTTTCTTTGGAAAACTGAATACCTACAATAATGGTTATGATTTTATTAAAAATTATTCATTTTTATAAGTGCTATTACTACAACAACCACCTAAATTTTTCCCAAGCCTGTGTAGGCGCTAAAAAATTAAATATTCAACAAAAAAAAAGGAGAGGAAAATCCACTTAGTGGAAAGTTTATTTTTGGTGCGATTTTGATTAATTTACAGTCGACTTGATTAGTGGGCGTTTGCTGATCAGATAAGGTTCTCAATCATTATCGCCGGAAATATTTGCTTGCGGTGTTTTGTTGTAATTATTGCAATAGTTTTAAATAAAATTCCTGTCAAGCCCTGTAAATCAAGGTTTATGTCCTACCCAGCACTATATATTCTTAAGTCACATGTCGATCCACGTGGTTTAAGAAGGATCCCTCATTTAGAAAGCCCTTGATATGAAAGCCCTTTGATTGACGTCAAATAATGTAAAATTTAACTTACTATTAAAATTTACAACGAAATTAATTTGTAAAAGGTCAACCGATAAACCCATTGAACCTTTCTGATCTTTTTTTTTGCGCATATAACACGCAGGTTGGGGTGGAAAATTTTCAGAGGCATTTTCCTGTTGTTTATTTTGATGTTACTTCTGTTTTTGCTATTATTTTACAATCATATTCGCAGTAAAGTCTGTTGTAATTTATATTTAAACATGAGTCTATATAATTATACGAATATATATATGAATTAATGATAATCAGTGTTGAATACTCTACAGAATGGTATACTGCCAGGGGAAAACAATAAAAATATGAATAGTAAAATTTTAATATTTGGTATTATTTACTTCAAATAATATAAGGTAGTTAGTTTTTATTTGTTAGTATTTTTAACCCTTTTTAGGGTATATAGTTCTTCATTGTTTAAAGGCTAACCTTGCATTCCTACTTACTGCATTATTATTTTTTATATGTGCAATTATTGATAAGCCAAAAGGTGACCCACTTGAGACCTATACAATTCGCAAAATATAAAAGAATTTCACGGAATAACTAGCTCAAGTTACCAATAAACATAAACATTTGGACCGGCTTTTCAAACAAACCCTTTTCTCATGGATATCGACCATCTTTCCCACATGGTACGCGTAATTCAAAACCAAGGAATGGAATGAAAATAAACAAAGTTTGTTCTCCTTAAAAGTTTTGCTGCAGATCTTTCATTAAGTTCAACGACCTTTTCCACAAGGAAACTACCTACCAATAGATACTTTAAGAAATATAAAATAATGATTAAATCAGATGTTATTCAAGAGTGCAGACTGTGACCTCTCCACCAAATGGAAGGTTAATTGAATCAAAATTTGTGCCAAAATTCTAAGTGCGCATTTGTTAGATACGCTAAATATTTCTCTAGATACTGAACTGAAAAGCCCGAAACAGATTGCGTCTGAGAAAATTCGCTTGCCACTGAGTCATGAGGCGGCCATGTAAATAGCAAACTAGTCTACGCGTTTCTAGCTGTATCTACAAGTGTGCGCAGCACTCACAGATACACTGCCATATCCAGATACTGCAGCTGCATCTGTATCTGGGCGGTGCAATGCACGCATTTAACATTGAATGCAATGTTTGAGCATATATTTCTGATGTTGATTATTGCTCTCTCGCTTTTATGTTAATGTCGCATAAACCGGAACCAGGAATAAACATTTAATTGAGGGGAAATTGGGGGCTTTCGAGGGAAGTCATGTTTCTGGTCAGAAAGAAAGGCGGAATTGATGTTTTGGGGTCGTTTTTGTGGCAGTTTTGCCAACTTTTCTCTCAATAAGGTGTTATATGAGTAGAGTTATAAATATATACCTTTCTTCTTTATTTTGTATAATTAATCATTTAATTATTTAATATAATTGCCTGTCCTTACATTTAAGAATTTATTTGTTTACCTTTTTTTGCGATTTTGACAAGCTTTGAATTTTAAAGTACTTATAGATAGAGTTAAAAGTGGACGTAGTACTTCTGACAAGTACTCACGACTGTATTTTCTTCATTATAAGTATTTAATTTTTCGAAAGCTTAACCTTGCATTTAAAATAGACTAAAAAAATTCAAATCACGCCACTTTTATTTTGCATAAATTTCTTTAATTGCTTATCTGGTAGCAATCCCAAAAATTAGCTCCGAATTAAGTTAAAAATATTTTATCATTTGACACATACAATAATGCAATCTGGAACCTGTCAGTTTATTTTGATTTTTGTTTTCTTTATTTTTAACAATTGAATATAAAGCACCTGTTGTGTTAGGATAATCAAGTTTGATAATGAAACGTGATTGCCAAAAACAAGAGTTCAAAGATAAGTTTAAAAATGTTATAAAATATGTATTTTATGGAAGAGAGTTTAGTTAAAAATATAAAAAGCCATCCAATGTTATATATATAAATATTGGTTTGTCGAAAAGTGCATACAATGTTTCTGAAACTTTCTCCCCCAGGAGTCCTCAGTAATTCCCTCCGAGTTAGTCAAGGTGTCGCCCGCTAATTACTTCATACATCAAACCGCCGCAATAGCACACAGGTATTACAAAACGCAATTGAATGGCTGGCGTACCGCTACTTGAAATTCAAATACATTAGCCACAGTAAACACTCGACTAGGCCAACTAGACTCGACTCTGTTCGATGGTCCGACAAACAGATGTTGGTGAGTGGCACTGGCAGCCTTCTGTTTGTTCGGTGATTAACATGGGAATAATGAAGAGGTTTCGTCTGACTATTTTTAGGGTGTTTGGGTGTTTGGGGAGTTCTCGATCGGGGCGGGGCTTATCAAAGTCGGACGCGACTATATCAGACCAGATAATAATAGGACTATTATAGATACTGCCAAGAGCCGGGCCCGTCGATGTCTGGCGATGTCAATGGAACTATCGCCCTCCGGTTATCTCAGGCAGCCGGCAAAAACGTGATCAGTTGTGGTCGGGTTCAGATTCAGATTCAGTGGCTGCTGTTTGCCTGAAAGCTTTCTACTATATATGTGCACGCGTGTATATATTTGCATAATAAATCGCATAATTAAGTTTGTTTTAATGCTGATCGCCGAGTGTCGATCGAGCGACGATCAACGATCCGACGATCGCAATAGTTGCAATGGAAAATTACGCGATCGCATTGCGGGCAAAACACGCAACAAAATCAAATCGAACTTGGGCTCTCAGATTGCCTTTGAACCCGAAGATCTAAAAGTGTTATGGGGACCAACTACTTAGTTGACAATCCCTATACTATTATTAGTGCAACGTTTGGCGACTTTTCCGTTTCCGCAGCGGAAGAGCCACTTTTCACACCAAATGGTGTTTGCCAAAAAGAAATTTTGCTCATACCCCATAGACGTAAATTTTGGGGGTATATTGGATAAGGTCTAAGTCATTTAAAAAGTTTAATAAATATTAAGAAAAACCATCTAAAATTATGTATAATATTTTCCTGAAATTTTCCAAGAACGCAATCGCTTAGTCTGGTTTTAAAATCGATTCAAGTGAAATAATTATGACTAAACATTTTTCCATCGATACAGTTCACTAATTGAGTTGATTTACGAGGACGCTTGAAAAAGTAAACAAAATTTAGTATAATAGTGGGCATCTTATAGTCAAAATATGTACTTATACTCAGTCAGACGGTCCTGGCTTCTTTCTTTATTTCGCGATCACGCCCCGATCAGGTGCTCTAGGTCAGTTACGGCATGATGATCACTCTGCAGCGATCTGTCCACTGTCGCGTCCCAAAAATAAACCAGTTCTATATTTATGTTTTAAGTTTATGCTGCGCAGTTTATCAGCGTCTTTCGCCCTGGTGATCTACCTCTGGTTGGACGACGGGGGATCTTTAATTTCGTCTGCATTGATAAGGCGAATACACGATCGGGTCGCGCGCCTTGTTTCTAAATTTAAATCATCGCAAGAGGCCTCCAACTAGTCAATGTATACTATTACTAGGCAAAATCATGGTTTGGCATGTCAACAATTTGTTGGGCTTTCGACGAGCTGATAACCGGCTAGCGCCGATGGCTAATAAAATATGGTGCGACTGATATAGACCGATCGGCCAATTTCATCAGCCGTTTTGCACGTTTTTTTGCGGTGGGCTGGGAGGTCCCTCTATTTCCAGACGCGTGTGCCTCCAATGTTGACTAGCTCCCTCATTATGCTCGGAAACAGCTCATGAGGGATTTTTTGTTGGGGGATTGTCTAGACGCCAAGAACAGTAGGTAATATTCCACAATGTGGGAAACCTGCTAAAAAGAATTTCATGTTTTCTTTGGACTCACGCCGGCTGCGAATGATGTTTGATGATGGAAATAATTCGACAACGAGTTGTGGTTTTCTAAACATTGTTTGTTGTATTTGAAAATATTTGAAATATTTTCTTTCCTATTTAAAATTATATTTTTTTTATATGGAAATATGGGGGACCAACAAAATGGAAAGTCTCCCGCATAAATTGTTAAATTTTTAAATGGGCCCGAACGACATCCGTTCGAAAGCAACGAACTGTAATTACAGAAGCACTCATAGGATGCATGAATAGGAAAATATGGAAATCTGCACAGAAATAGACAAGGCATATTTATGTAAAAAGTGTGTGCCACAAATTTGCCAGTGGCAACATGCAGAGGCTGCAGTAATTGAATTTCAAGTGCAACTAAAGAGAAAGAAGACGATCTAGGAAGAGAAGACAATATCTTAAAAGAAAGAGATGTTGTACTCTCTTCTTAGAGAGAAGAAAAGGTAAAAGTAAGGAGAAGATGCTATTCCAACCCTAAGAATACATGGCAACGTACGCATACCTCAGATATGGGGTGTAGCTAAAGGGGAATTTAAGATATTTATCTGGAAAATACTTTTTTAAAGATATCTCTATAGCTACTGTTTACTCATACGAAATCGTAGCTTTTACTGTAGCTGGTAATTGGCTTTTAGGTAATGTATCTTTGGACTCCCCTAGCTAGCCAATCTCTACACCTCTGTGTTTGTGGCCTACGTAAATGAAATGACCGGCAAAATGCAACGAGCCACTCAAGTAACCACTTCTTCATGCACGCAGGGATCGGGATCTCTCGAAACCGGCTTTCAACTAGGCAAGCAACTCAGCCGGCCGGCTTTACTTTCCTGTTCATCCGCCCAGCTACACTTGGAATAATATTCAACTAAAATTATAGAAAATTGTATTTAAAAATGTATCTCACTGAATGGGTAATATGTATATTAACTTAAATATATAATATTTTAGAGTTATATATTTAATTTGACATTTAATATAATTTCTTCCAATGCACCCTGCCGGCTCTACCACACATCATTTCCTCCCCTGCCTGCCTTTCCACCCAAAGACCCCCTTTTCAGCAGCAATCTCCGTCTGAATGCTGCGTTGGCATCCGTTGGCGATGAAGAAATGAAGAAAGTCTACATTCAAAGTAAGTTTTTACTTAACAGTCTTTAAGAGACACTCAATAAACAAAAAGCGTGAACCCTTCATAGAGTTGCATTATCATTGGGTTCGTTCGTGATGTGATTTGAAATCACGCATTAGGAGGGAATATCTTCGATCTCAAACAAAAAAACAAAAAAAAACTCAAAGATCTTTCCGCCATGAGTGCATGTTATCCAGACCCATAGGCTCTCTATATTGTAGAGACCCAGCAGCAGCCCAGCCACTTTTTCGAGTTTCAAACAGTTGAGACTGCATTTCTGTGTGGATTTGGTTGCATTCAGCGGTTTCCGCTTGTCTGGGACAGTTTTGATGTGGGTACAGACAGATATCATGTGGGTCGAAAATGGCCTGCCGAGCTAGATTACAAAAAAGAAAAGGCGACCATAAAAGAAATCAATTTAAATGGTTCATTAGTTAGGTCTTGTGAACGCCTAGTGGTATTTTAATCTTTTTATGCAGGTTTTCAATAAAAATTTTATACTGAAGATTATATTTCTTTTAGAATAAATACTATCTAAATCTTAATATTTGTTGTTTTGTACACAAAAGAAAGGGAAGACCTTCTCCTAAAGGATAATTGATTTACAGATGAAAAGGAAACAATCGTACATAAAAGAAACGCGTAGGCTGGACACAAAAAATAAATAAAATGATACTCAAAAACGAGTCGAGTGATCAACAATGAGTGGATTCATAAAGAGTCTTTCCCACTCAAAAACCTTAGCCTTTTTTACCATTGTACTATCTTGTGGTACTATATAGCTACTTTATTTGCCAAGTCTACTGAATTTGATAAGATAAATGCTTAAACAGCTGAGACGAAAAAATGTTTGGCAAATCCCAAGATTTTTTCATCCGTAAGATTTCGTCAATAAAGAGATGGAATAGGGGGAATTCTGCCCATGTGAGACGACTGTGATCATGTCTCGCGGGCCTGACACTATTTTGACTTTTGTCACCGCCAGCGACAGCGGCGCCAAAACTAATCAAAGCAACTAAAACTACAACAACAATAGGTGAATATCAAAATGCAATCACACAAGAAAGAATGCTTTTGTCTTGCAGAAACAAGAGTACTCTTTAAAATTTATTTTAAAACTTGCTAGGTCATTTTTAAATGGTTATTGAAAAAGTGTCCTCTCCATATCTTTGAAGAAAATCTTTAAGATACCTACAATTTTAAGATACCCTCAGCAAGGGTATTAATTATGCAGGTATATATACGGCGAGAGAAGAGTAAGAGCGGGGCTATTCTAGAAAGAGAGCCTGTCCCTCGCTCACAGTAAACCCACAGTGGAAAAAAGGTCGGATTTACCATATATTTCTCAAATTTGGTTATTTTGGGCTTATAGTTTATATATACATACCTATATATTTAGAACTATATTTTATAAATCCTGCCAAACTTAGAATTTAAAAATTAAAATTTAAGTTAAATAATTGTTGGATTCATTTTGGTGTATTAGTATCTGTTTATTTTATAGCTTATTAGTGTTAAATAAAAAAAATTATTTTTTTTTTAAATTTGCAACATTTTTGTTGTATTTTTCATGTAATCTGCACGGCCCTTGTCCAATACTGTATGAAAGTTTGCTGTCTAAGTCTTTTGTTTTACAATTTGGTCCTGTCCCTTATTTTTTTTTTGAATTTAGCTTCCCTCCCGATAATTTCATATAGCTCCCTAATTAATATATATAGTTGTAAATAAAAGTTAATTACGAAAATATATTTTTTTAGTGTTTCGGAAATTAATTAAAAAATATTTAAACAGAAAAATGAAAGGTCAAAAATGTTAGTACAACACCCGTTGAAAAAACCTTTCGATTATATATTTTATAGCTCTTATCGTTTTTTATGGACTACAACAGCCGTTCGTTCCCACTGTGCAACGATCGCAGCCAAGTCTTGACGGAAAGTTGCCCCAACAAACATTTCATTCGTTTTCCCAACACCGAATCGTACGGTTCATAGGAGGAACGGAACGGAGTGGACGATACGGAAATCAACGGGGACGCGATGCGAACTATTTTTTGTTCGTGATCGGTTGTTTAAAAAATAAAAGAAAAGTTTATTAAATAACCCTTGAAAAAATCGCAAAAGATCGTACGGAATTTTGTGCGTGTGTCCACTGAAAAATAAGTGCTCCACATCGGAAGATTTTAATAAATTAAATTTAAAATCATATTCATTGTCTGACGCGCGCGCGTGATGCACAAATGAAAAAGTAAATCAAAAATTATAAAATAAAATCAAGAAATCAAAAAGAAAGTTAACCAAAAGCACAAAAAATAAAAAGTAAAGTTCCTTACCTCCTACCCAGCAGAAGAAGCAAGCAGAGAGGAATTAAGCCGAAAGATAACCACTAACGGTTAGTTGCGAACTTTACTTCGAAACATAAACAATAACTAAATAATACACTGACATTAAAGTTTAGTTGTCTAAACCATACCTCGAAATAACTTTTTACATTATCGTCACCCTGGTATTTGGCCATGCTCTTGCCCTCCGGAAACATCATTAATTCCGATTCCACCTGAGATTAGAAATTTGAATAAAAATATTACATAAATGTATTCATGTGGCGCTCATGCATTCCCTTTATATATATATTGCTTTCCAATTAAATGATCATTTATTGCCGCTTTGATGCGCTTCAATAAAATTAAAATAACAAATCGTTAATTTTCTATATATTTTTTTGTTACAGGGGCTTCCAAACAGAAAAAGCTCCTTGTTTTGTAGAAATCACTGATATCAGCGCCGATCGAAAATCTATATAAAAATGATTTCACACAGTCCGCCTATATTCAGTCACAGTCCACCCGTTAGTTTTCTGGCGGACTTCATGAGCGGACATCAGCGTCAATCATTGAAGTAAGTTTACCAAAAAAAAAATATTCCGACATAAGCAAATAAGCAGTAGATATTCCAATCAATTAACTTAATTAATGCTAAATTGATTTAAGTGAACGCACGAGTTTCGGCCACCAATTAAACTAAATTAAATTGACGAAAACGAATGAAAAGTTGACTTATTTTAAAGGAAACACTATCCATGTTTGGGATTTTGTGTCACGACCTGAAGCAAACTTTCTTTTCTATTTTTTTTATCGGTAGATAAGACTTCGAAAAGTATTCTCTGATGCATTTAAAAACAATTTCAACAGGTGTGTACGTGTTAATGAAAGGAATACAAAAAATGTTGATTAAGCAGTCGATAAATTTGCCAGATTACTTGTTTAACAAAAAAAAAATGATTTTCGCGCTTCCGTTCTTATATAACAAACATATCTGATATGAGTTTGGAAATGAAAGCTTTTGTTTGAGGTTTTGGAAAGCAATTTCCCAAAAAATAAACAATAAAAGTTTATTTCGAAAATTTCAAACATAACCCACATTTGTTTGATAAACAGAAACCGAAAAGAATAATTCTTTTTAATTCTTGTAACACCTGAAAAGTTTACAACATGTGGAAATGATAAATCGTTCCTCAATGACGGCTGCCAATAATGAAGTAATTAAAACACCTGTTCAAATTGTCTTATGCCAACCTGCTGTTTTAAAAGGCCGGAAAAACTTGTTACTCATGTTCACCAAAAAAGTGAAATGGGGGGGAAAAAAACTTAAAAATACTTCAAGAACACAATGAATGCAGGCACTAAAAATATTCCCTCGACTAAGGCCCGGTGTTGGGTTGACAACAGATTGGCGAAAATATGAAATGGAGGCATTCAAGATCAAGGCAAGGCAGACGAACGGAGATGAACCAAAACAAACATTTTGCCAAGACTGAGGTGATCTTTTATAAAATATATGAACAAAGTTGGGTGCGGGAGATTTGAAAGATCGTTCACGAGTTGGGGAGATGCCGAAAGAATCACTTGCTTGGCGACAATTTTGCGCGTGGCGCTTTGACGCAACATTTTCACATTTTTTCTCAGGGGCTCAGGGGCACGAGCACCCCAAATACGATGACAAATCGGTTGAAAGGGAAAAAACTACTATATCTATACAAATATGGTCGAAAGACCATACTTATCCCATAAAAATAAATTTGTGGCGCTTCATTGGCTGCACGAGCTGCATTTTACTCATATTTTGTAGTGAGACGTTTATTTTCGGGAATGATTAATATGCAAAACAAATTTTATATAATTTACGCCAAGATATATAAGTAAACGGAAGCTAAAAATAAATATATACTTATGAGTGGTATGCCCAAAGCAAAACAAACACAAAAAACTTGTTGAAAACTCACGAAATAATCAGTTAAGATTAAAAGGGTTTCCAAATCAAGAATTCCATAAAAGTAAGTCGCTTTTATAGTGGGATAGCCTGCATTCTTTATCAGAGCACGTGAGAGGTATGTCTTTGAAAGATCCCAGGCACTCCAGCAAACTCAAGTAACTCAGGGGCTTTTTACGTCACTTAAGCTACAATTTTACAACGTGATTTTACAACTACTGCTCATGATTTAACTTCCAGTTAAAACCCGAACTGGGTTTGGTTATCGAAATCACTTGAATTTTCAAGTTGCCGAGTCGGGCAGTAAATATGCTGATATAGTGTCCAGACAGCGGCTATTAGCCAGAAAAAACGCGTTGATAACAGTCAAGCAGACGGAAAAGTTCTCATAGCCAGGCCCACGCCAAAAAGCCATATCAGCACGGGTCCAACATATGTTTAGCATGTGAATCGAATCTTATCAAGCATTGACTCTTAGTTTCTGGGATGTCTAGCCGAAAAAAAAATTAACTACAAACGGGATGTGTGAACTATGCCAAAATGTCTGTCCACAAAGTCATAAATGAATCATGCGATGGGTGCTCAAACAAATATGCTTTTATTCGGTATTACATAGTGAGTGTTCCCCTGGCACCTAAGTCAAGTGGGGAGGTCGTGCGCAACTCCTAGGCTCGCTTATCAGTCTTTATAGACAATATGTGTTTATATATGCGGTGTTTGAGTTGGTATCAGCAGAAGTACAAGTACAAGTACGTACAGAGGCCTCCTCCTAACAAAGGAGGCAAATATTAAAGCAGTAAAAATTTAAAACCACCAGCGGTCTTATCAGGCCTGATAAAAGTGCAGCTTGATGCGCAGATGTTCCAAACAGAACCAAGATCGAAAGGTTTTACTTAGCAGCGATACTAAATATATATTTTATGATCTTCAAATCTTTTATTTTATATTCATAACATTTTCTTTATTTTTCAATTTTCAGTTATAATGAGGAGGCCAACAGAACGCCGCGCTACTACCGACCCCAAGTGATAACTCTGGCCTCCAAAGCCATGGTCAACAACGCCTCGGCGGCGGTCCAGGGACAGGGCCAGGGACCCAGCCAGCAGAAGGCCGGTGCCACACCCCTGGGCGTCGGAAGTCGATCGGGCCGAAGCTATCTGGAGCGCATGGCCTCGGCTCCGTTGCTCGTTAGCCAGCCCAAGTCCTGTCTTAGCCGCAAATCCTGCCTGCACAAATCCACAAACAGTCCCAAGAACAGTCCCACAGAGCTCGCCCCCACGGAAGGCGACGTCACGGACAGTGTCGGCCAGAGCTGTATCTGCAGCAAGGACAGCGACTGCAGCGGATCCACCCACTGCGAACAGAGGTGAGTGTGTGCTGGGTGATAAGATTACATCACGGCGGTAATACGATAGCCGGTAAATGCCTTAGCGGTTCGATCACTTTGACGTCAGGCCAGCAAATCGAATGACAATTGGCGCCGCACTTACTAAACCGCCAAGTGAACTAGATGGGGCTTGTTTGGGGTGAGGGTCTAACCAATTGTGGTCAGAACAAAGTGATTCACCAATAAGATATCAAACGGAAGGTAAACCTTAAGGGAAAGTTAAGCAATACAAAGAATGCACTTTGTAATCTCAGACAAGAAACCACAACATGAAAAGCCAATAATAAAAGATAGGTCTTGCAATGTGGATTGTAGATCTGCTGCAGTTTTCAAAGTTTTTCCTAAAGACCGCATCATTTCCGTTGAAACCATTCATAAACATAGATTAATCGTTTATTAGCCATTAAAGATAGTTCAAGTAAAAGGAACAAGACAATCTGTTGGCAGTCATACAACTTTCCCACAGACGTCATAGCCGAGCACATGTCATTTGGCAAATGCGAGGAGAAAGGAAATTGCATATGGCCCTGGGGGGCTAAATAAATGCAAAAAAAAAAATCATTAAATATAATAGATAAAATTTGAATATGTGTGAAAAGTGTTGAGCCAAAATAAAGAACATGCAATATCACAAAAACAAAATATAAATTATCTAAATGACTGCAAGAATGAGACGAAATAAAAACACGCCACTGCATCGGCAGCCGAGAGCTCGGTGTATCTAGTATCTCTCAGATAAAAAACCGCACAAATTAAGACTGAAATCGGAATAGACTGGCATTTAGTATAGAGCCGAACAGCAAGGCGCCATTATTTTTATTTTCGCTTTCTATACATGTGATCGCTTCTATATGTACGAATCTCAAAAATTCAGGCCCTGAAAATATTTGGGTTATCGATTTATTCTGACTGATATATGTATATATGGGCTTATGGATTTTCAATATTTTTCAATAGGCCCTAGGAAAATTTTTCCTTCTTTGCACTTGAATTTGACATTTCGAAAAATGACTAAAAATAAAGGAAAAATTCTTGTGTATACCCGATGAGATAGAGAAAATAAATGATACGTTCATTTGCGTCAAAGGCGAGAACTATTTGTCTATTTGGGCAATGTCTAGACTTGGGCATCGGGGCTTAAAGTTTCACAGCATCTCGTACAAAGGCAATTACCCGTAATACTCGTATTATCAATGCAAACCAGACGCGTGCCTTATACTTTTTTAGAGTTTGTGTACACTTTGCGGTTGCGTATGCGGGATGCCTTGTTTTATCAGTTACGAAAGGCACTGGAAAAAATGTGTGCTTCACCTCATTACTTTACCTCAAAAATCAATATTTTTAAAGCAAATAATATGGAAGGATTTCCCCCAATTCAAGGCATGACGAAGCCATCCATCATTATCGATGCCTGCCACACCAAACTGTCACTCATCGAGGCCTTCGTCCCCCTCCCATTCCAATTACACATGACAGACTATGAAAAAGCTTTCCTCTTTGTTAATTAGTCCACCCCCGAAAAAACCAAAAATCATCAAGATCAGGCATCAGACGTCGCAGTCGGGTCACGTCAAGGCCGAAGAATTATTAGCCTAGAAGCGTGATCTCTTTCGGGCGAAAAGCGTCATTAAATTGAATAAAAATTTGAATTTATTTCATTTTTTTTGGTGTAGCATAACTAAAAATATTTTAACATTACAAGACCCCGCAATGCACACACAGACACACACTTAAGGTTATATTTAGAGATATGGGGAGATGTGTCTGGTGTTCATGCGAAGATCACGTGAATCGATCAGAAAGTTGAGGTCGAGCCATATGCGTTTGCTGTAAAAATGTTGGCGCACAATCAACCCGAAAATGTTTGAAAGAATTTTGTAAAATTACAAAAACTATATACATACATAGTTTTCTATTTTATTCAACATCAAACGTAGAAAGTAATTAGAAGAGACCCGCCAGAAAATTTTCCAAACTAAAAACTATTTTGAGACTCTTACTATTGGACTTTGACTATGCGTAGGGGAAATTTTCTGAAAAAGCTCTAGCATAGACAGGAAAGACATAAAACTTAGCATGTTATGGTAGTGGATATAAAATAGAAAATCATAAAAATATAAAAGGAGGAAATACCTTGGGGTGTTTTATAAACTAGCTCAATTGTAAGGTCAACTAGAATGACCACCAAAAGTTGTCCATCCCTCGCGGCGTTGTAAAACATTAACAGAATATTATTTGAACAGGTCATTGCCTCAAGAAAAATTGGGGGATTCGAACAAGGTCTGCAAATTGAGGAAATTACAAGTATTTTTAGCAAGCATTTTCTTATATTTTTATGAGAGATTTTGGGATTTAAAAAAATGCGTTTTCTCACTGAAATCAAAACTCGTTTCTCCTTCCCCAATCTTAAGTTAATGTGCCATGCATATTGAGGAGTTACAAATTTATGGACTTGTTGTAAACCGGACCCTCGAAATAAATGCGATCCGTATTGCATACGGAATGGTGGCTGGACGAATGCATTTGGATAGCCGAAACCCGTTTCCCTTGGAGGAGAAAATATAAGCCAGGCGGGAAAATGAATGGAAATGTAAATGAATATTTTCTGATTTTTTTTGGGCTGATCTCTTTTAAAGGTGACACGTTTCAGGAAAAAAACGAGACCCGTCTGTGGTTTCTGTTTTCTGGTGGAATGGTTGGCTGGATGGTTGGCCTGTGTTGGGCGTTAAAGCCTACACACCAGATAAGCGATCGCGACGGAAACCTGTTGAAGAAAATGCAACAGCACCGCCTCGATCATGCCCTCGATGCGTGATCGTCGATAGTCGTTTCGATCCGATCCGAATCGGGTCTGGCCGGGTGGGGCGATCTCCGTATAAAAAAAAAACCCAATAGCCGGCTGTTTGCCGGCAGTTGTTCAGTAAACAGAGAGAAAAAAGCCGAGACGTCCCTGTTGGCAATAGCCAACAATTGTTGGCTATTTGAACTTCTCATATATATTTAGCACCTGATGCGTATCCCCCTTAACTCTCCTCCAATTTGCAGACCAAATAAACGCTACTCTTCAGTCTAGGTTGGCTTTAACTGACGGAAACTTTTCAATTTCTCAGCGTTAGTTGATATATTTTGGTTTGGCAACAGCGAAAAGCCATTAAGAAACGAGCCCCTATCCTGTTTGATTAGCCAAAATTAGTCGCCATATCTTATCGTTTTTATGGTCGACTTTCTAAATAGAACGATGGCTTTATTGGATTGGTAAAAATATGCAAAGTATAAATGATGTTGGCAACTGAAAATTCAGAAGAATTGTTTGTTACTTCCAGTCATCCAGATATGGTTTCAGAACAATGTTGTGGGATTATACCACATACATAGCTATTTTTAAACTAACCATAAATAACCATTCCAAGGGATTTTCAGACTTTTGCCAGACTGTAAGAGATGTTTCTTAGATTTTTCGATATATAGGAATTTTTATTTGGTTATAGCCTATATTTTGAATCACAAGTTATCCCATATATCTAGTGGGGTGTGTTTTTATTTACATTTAAGCCAAAGAATCGTGGGAAGAGTCGCCCTATAAAGCCAAAAACAAAAAGAAAGCCATCGCAAAAAAGTAGGCGTGTTTTACATATAGATTAAGGCAAATCTTTGGCAAAATGGTACGTGACTGCTAAAAATAAAATTGAAGAAATACACAATACACATTACTCTTTTTATGACGCAAAGAATTTTTCGGGAACAACATTTTTTTTTAAAGGAATAAAATGTTTCGATGGAAAACGGGAAATCATACCAAAAGAATAGATATTCTTACAAGGTTTTGGGGCTCTGGGAAATGCCAAACAATTGGCAGACCCCTAGAGGGTCTTCCTATCTGGCAGGATCTACTAAAAGGTGATTAAAAAAATGCATTTTGGCAACGACGCAGTTAGCTAAACTAAAAGTCAAAACAAACCTATTAAATGAAACTGTTCAGCATAAAAATAGAAATCTTCTCGGAGAAAGAAGACAAGTCAATGACCACAGAGCCATAAAGTACATATTTTCAAATGGGGGGTCAAGTCAAATTGATAAAGCCCAGGTCAGATCTATAATTAATAATATATATTTTTATAATGCATATTTTAATAATCGTATTTGGGGTTTCTTTTCTGTTTTTTTTTTTTTTTTGCAGCCGTGGCCCCAAGAAGCATGTGATCTTTGCCGATGATGAAGGTCTCTCGTTGACCGAAGTACGTGTGATGTCCGAGCCCTCGAATGTGCCCCCCTACTGGAGCATGAAGTTCTTGGAGCAGATTACACAGGGCCTGGTCAGCCCGCATCCGCCGGATCAGTGGACGGTGGACTTCAAGCAGCCGGCCTCAGACTATCTATCATTCAGGTGTGTATTAAAAATAATATAAATATTATTTCAATTATTAATCATAATTGTAATTACAGACAAAAGATAGAGCGTGATTATGTTTCCCTGGAGAATGTAATTGTCAAAGATGAAGAGTCCATTGTGGTGGGCACCATCAAGGTGAAGAATATCGATTTCCAAAAGGAGATCATTGTCCGGGTGACCTGGGATGACTGGAAGAGCCAGCAGGACATCTTCTGTACATTCGCCAGGGCCTATGGACCGGCCACCTGTGCCCATGTCGTCTTCGATACATTCTCCTTCAAGATCACGCTGCCGCCATCGTCGAAGCGCTTGGAATTCTGCATCTGCTATCGCACCAACGATACGGAATATTGGGATAATAATGATGTGAGTTTTAAATTATAGATTTATAATTGAAAGCATAACTTAAAATGATATTAAATTTGCAGGGTAAAAACTATACCATCAGCAAGCGATCACCCTTTTACTACAACGCCTTGTCGCCCTATGATAAGGGTCAGAATCGCAACTCTAGCCAGCAAATGAGGTCCGCCCTGACCGATGCCATGGCCAAGGTCCAGGACCAGAACAGCTGGAACCAGGAGCCTCATACACCATATTGGTAAATCCGGCCCGGGAACAGGGAATGGAAATCCCCCACCCGAGCTGACAAAATTTTCTCATTTTGGCCACATGAACAGATAGAAAGAAAAAATTGGAACAGAGTTAAAGATTTTAAAAATAATTAAGAAAGTTAGCAAGAGAGAGAGTCGAAAAGATTTTAAACCTAAAGAAACTTTTGACTTTATTTTAATCCTGGTACAAAGATCCCAATTATAAAGTGCCATTGACTTGAGGTTAATTCAATGATAAATGAGAACTAGGGCCCCCAACTACTTTCACTAAGCCAACGCCCGAATTTTTAATTTTTTTTTGTCGTTTAGTCAGCTCAATGGAATTTGAAAATCATATCATCTATTGTATATCCTTTTAAAATGTTGTATGTTCGATTTCGTATAGGTTTTTGAAGAGAGAAAGGATTTTTTTAGTGTTTACCTGTATGCCTGTGTGATTGTCTACATCTGTATAACTGATATTAGATTTATGTTATAACTAAAAACGAATGAAAACCTATAACTATCAACGAGATGAATTTTGAGGCGTGAAGTATCCTAGCAAACCATTGTTTCGAAATTTTCTGCAAATGCAAAATAAAGCAAACAAAAAAGAAACACACATTATACAACAAAAAAAAAAACAAGAAACAAACAAATTGTAGCATTAAGTTTATTTGTTTTATTATTTTTCATTATTTGTTCTTTTCATTTCATTATACAATTTTTTCCTTTGGTTATTTGAAACGCTAAGACTGAAATGGCTTGTTATGGAGAATAAAACACGTCCTGCAATATATTATAAAATAAAATAAAATAAAAAACAAAAACAAAACTAAAAACATAATAATTCTTATCATCACATAGCAGACAAATACCTTTTTTGTCCTCATTGTTCTGTGTGATCCAGATCCCCGACTATATTCTATATTCTATATACACCTAATTAGCCGTAAGCCAATTTGTAAATACAGATGCAAAAAGCAAACAATATATACCAGAAAATTGCCTGTTAAATACATTTATATACCTATGTGTTTAGTTTTATGAAGATATAGATTTAGTCCCTAGAGGTTATTTAGTTGGTAAGATGCGCCAAAACTGACGTAACGTGAATGAATCCCTATATGTGTGCACATATGTAGAGCCTACTCTATGATTATTTAGTTTTTAGTCAACCTTATGACACAACGAGCCCCTATATTGTCTTATTCAGCTCATTGATCATAAAACAAAATAAATATTTTTGAAAACAAAAAATTTAAAGGCTTTTTAATGGTAATTTTAAAATATTATGAATAAAAAAGAAAGGAAAGCTTACTTTGGACGGATATAACCTTGCAGTTAAGTAGCAGTTTATGTTGTAAGATATTATTATTATTATGTGCTGCAAATATCGAATGAAATTTGCCATAGGGGTTACGGTATCAAAATCATTTCATATAATACAAATTATGAAAAAAGTCCAAACAAAGTTTTGAAACAAAAAATGACAAAAATATATTAATGTGTGTTTCAGGTTTATAATTTATAAACTAACGTTTTTCTTTAGAAATTATAGAAGAATTGATATGTAAGGAAGAGAAGTTAAGGAATTGAAAATATATATATGTATGTATAATTCGGAAATATTAATTTTAGTTGGCCAATTCTTATAGGAATTTGAATATGAGACCGATTCGGTATAATGTAACTTTTCAACAAAATACCAAGCATGTATCACCATTATCATGAAAGCATAGCTTCTCCGATTGTTCAGTTATATAGCACCTACAACGAAATAGTGCTCGACCCTTATAAAATTTGGCAGACCGGATTAGCATCCATAGAAAGTCCCAATCTTTATATCGACTTGTGTGTTCCTGATCCGGAATATATTTATTTTATGGGGTCGGAGATGGCTTCTTCACTTCTTCGCCTTAAATATATTAATAGTTTTGAATCTAGGTTCAAAAAAGTAATATTAATAAATCGCTATTAATAATCGCTCTTTATTCCCTGTTAAATGGAAAAAATATGAAGAGCCTGGAGGATTAGAAAAAATATAATCTTTAAAAGACTTCCAAAGATCAAAGTCCAATATTTTTGCACGAAACTTACTCATTATAGATGATCTCCAACCCTATGCTTTTCCACTGGCTGTAACCGCCTCTGGCTAATCTAAGACTCATAAAACCCGTTCCCAATGTCAGGAACATCGTTAATATGTCAAGGGTTATCTTTCCATGACATAACGTCACGAATTCCACAAATCGCAACCGGTTCCCCAAAAGATTAACAAATAGAACCGATTTAAAGCGCAGTTGACTTTTCCCGGGAAATCATACGAATTGAAAGACGTAAAGTAATTTTTATATATTTTATAATTTAATTTATTCAGAGTGCTTTCATTTAGGAGCGGGTCATACAATTGAAACAGTATAATATCATATTCGCTTGCGTGGCCCTGCGGGGCAGCGGTGAGGAGGGGGATAACATGGGGCTCGCCACGGGGGGAGAACACACGGACATACTTTCCAGCGCAAACTAGACATACAAAGGACTAAATATACAGATTTAGATTGTAGATGGAATAGTATACTTTGAACTTGAGTGTAGCTTAAAGATATAAGAATGTTCAGCGATTGAAGTTTTAAAATAAAAAGCATCATCATTTATAGAAAAGATCAAAGACTAATTGCAGTGATATAGAAATGCGTACAGTTGTAGACCTGGAATGTACATGTGTCATCGGCACACACGCAACATTTAAACAATTTTGGATCTGCCTTGGATAGCCTTTTTGCTCGAAATTAAAAAAAAAAAAACATAGTGTATAGATTCATTTGGGAAAGTAAAAGTATGTGCTCCGGGTCTGCCCACGATTGCGTCAACTGATCAACTCTGGCCTTAGACTACTGGACTACATTGACCCAATTTAGTTGCCCTTCTGCTTGGCCTTCAGACTGGCGGGCATCTCTGGTGGCGGCGGGCGGGGGATGCCCAGAGCCACCTTGACACCATCATAGATGAACCACTGCAGAGCAGTCAAGGTACCGATCATGATAATACGCGGGGTCAGACCGTTCCACATTCCCATGAATCCTAGAGACTTGGCTATGCTGGCGGCGCTGGCTCCCTTGGTCTGGTTCAGCTTGGACACAACCACATCAGCGGGATGCGAGACCACGGCGCAGAACACACCGGCAATGTAACCAGCAGCGAAGGTCACAACAAGCTGTTCGCCCTTTGAGCATTCGGCACGTGGCTTGGGCACAACATACCTATCGAAAAATCGGGTAATTAGTATTGATTCATCATTGGAACAAATTTTCTAACTCACTTGTACAACAGCTCCACGGTGCGCTCGAAGCAAGCGAACTTCATCATGGTGTAGGGGATCTGTCGCATCCACAGAGGCACCAGACCCTTGTAGAAGGCATTGACGCCCTCCTCCTTGAGCATCTTTGGCACCGCCTCGCGGAAGTTGTTGGCGAATCCGGGCACGGTCTGGATCTTGACCTTGGCGGCCTCGAAGGGTGCCAGAGCGATGTCGGCGAAGAACTCGGCCGAGGCAGATGCGGCCAGGTACAAGGAAGTGCGGTACAAGTAGGCATTCTCCTCACCAATGATGTCGGCGTACTTCACCTTGAAGAGCTCGTACAAGCCGAACTTGCAGAGTCCCTGGAATTGGAATTATAATAATATTTTTTAGTAAAATGTTTTTAGCAGGTATGGAAGTAGATTTTGTTCCACCCTATCCTCAGTTACTAAGGCTGCTTATCTTAAAGATAAGAAGATTTGTCTTTTGCATAAAAGTATCTGATTTATTAGAATCTTTTCTTCAATAAAAACGTCTGAATATTTTAACTTTATATTTCTAGAGTTTAAATAAAGAAACTATTATCATTTCAAAGATAATACATAAAAAAAACTGAAGCATTTGATAAGATAAAGCCCCGACTTGTAATCAATCTTTTCGCCAAATAACTAGCCAGAAGAAAGGGTTATTTCAAAACTTAAATAAAAATTAGAAAAAGCACTAATCTTTAGCCATTATTCACATAATTTCTTCCTGATAACCCCTCTATTCTAAAAAATTCTTGGATTCGAAACCAATTAAGGTTATCAGGTGACTGGGTCACGTTTCTGTCTGGCCGTCTGGTGTCGACTTTGGTTTCCTTTGATTACATAACCCACTTGGACTCACCTGTGCCGAGTAGCCCAACAGGGTTGGGAACCAGCCCTTGGCCAGACCACGGCTACCTTCCTCCGCAACTGTGACCTTGAAGCCATGTACCAGGTTCTTGTACTTGGCAGAGTCGACCTGGAGACGGCACTTGACCAGATCCAGAGGTACCACAAAGGTGTGAGTGGTGCCGCAGCTAAGGATGCCACCAATACCGCAGAGCATGAAGTATTTGGTGCTGCCGAACTCGCAGGAGGTTGAGTGATCGGCGGCTACGGGCACGGCGGCGGCGGCAGCAGCGATCTGGCGTCCCTCCACGGGCTGGGGATCAGCGGCAATGGGAGCGATGCTCTTGGAGGCATCGCATTGCACTCGGCCGAACGGGGTGCGGAATGGTGAGTTCCTGGCAGTTTCAAAGAAGCTCGAGAACATCTTGCACTTGTTTTTCGCTGATTCCTGTGGCTCTTGAATACGCTGAAAATAGAGAAGGGGAGGGAGGGATTCCTTTAGCGTCTGATCTCATGTGGCTGGCAAGCATGTGCTTTATCTAATTATATATATTGCTGTGTATATAGATGTGTAAGCGCCACGGCGGAGGCGACGATTACGGCCTTGTGTTTTTTCTAGGTTACATAACGGCGTGCCCAGAATTCGCACTCACGGGTCCCCAATACCTGCGGTCTCGCAGCTTGGCAACTTGGCAACTACCACTGAAATTTTTGTTTCCAATTTTTGGGGAATTTTGACGTCGCCGACGTTGTTTGTAACTTTTGAATTTTGATTGAAGAGTCTTATGCAATTTTCGGTTTGATTCGCACTTACAGATTTCGTTCAGCAACGTAACAGCTTCGTGGCGAGGGATTCGGAAAGAATAGGTACTCGCGGGGGCGCTCCCGGTATCGAAAGCTTTAAAGAGGGTTGTCTAGCTATTTTTCAAAAGCTTATCATTTTTTTTTAGTATTTTTTTTAGCTTGAAAAAATGTTTCAATCTGTACGGAAGTTGGTCACTCTGAAACTCCTGAAAATGAATTATTTTATCAAGATTATTATTTTTAAACTTATTGTTAAGATATTTAAAAAAATGTATTCATTACAAATATATATTTCCCAAACGTAAAGAGTCTGGTAATCCCCTCTCGAGCTAAAGAAATGGGAGCTATTGGTTTAAAACTTTGCTACTCTTAGCTCATACACAAACCACCAGTTTTTCGATATCGAAAACAGAAATCAAAAATAGAGCCTTCAGTGCTTCTCAAAGTTGTAAAGAATTTCATTAAATCATTGCTTTGATTATAATCAACAAATAATAAATTTTAAACTTAAATGATATTTAATCTTATAAAAGAGCTAGATAAATACACAAGATGTAAGAATAAATATAGCCTTCTAAGCTTTTCATTTTAGGCATTTTATTTGGGAGGAGTTTTATATTATAGTTATTAATAATTTATTGTACTAAAAACTCACTTGTTGAAAATTTTTGTTTATAAATTTAAATAAAATAAGAATTTCAAGATAAGGCTATAGCTAGACTTATATTATTAGATTTCCTTCGACTCCCATTTTGGTTCTTTTGGGGTTGTAGCTTTCTTCTGCTTTGCTTTTTCTGATTTCTTTGGATTTGTTTTATTGGGGATTGTTTTGTTCTCTTTCTAAGGGAGCGGTTAGCTTAATGGGAAACTTTACGAACCGGTAAAGAATGTATGAACCGGTTGAATGTTTACCGAATAAGATCATAGTGTTAGAACGGATAAAAGCGCCAAACCAAAACAGTGAAGAGATCTAAGAGAATTATTTTTATTATATATAAGTTAATGCAAAATAAAGCATATAAAATCTAGATTTACAAAGTCAAGAAGACAAAACAATTACAATATTTATTTTGTGAAGTTAAATCTTAAATTTATATTAAAAATTCTACATTTTTCTTAGTGCAAGTCTGAGTAAACTTTACTCTCACGCGCTGGCTCTTCGGGAAACTTCGTCAGATCTTCGTAGAAACCCGAATGCCGGGTCTGCGCTGGCCAAGTTAAGACTTCAGTCTTCACATTTAAGTTTGAGTTTGATTCGTAGCGCGTTCGCACACGCGCGCTCCACAGTTATATATATTTTCGATCCGATCCGATTCCGATCCGAAACGATCCCATCGAGATCGCCGACGTGCCGACGTTCGCCATCTCTTTCCCTCTAATCAGCTCGTACTTCGCGGCTAATTTTCAACTTAAGAAGTGAAAAACAACAAAATCAAGCAAATAATTGAGTAATTAGAGTCAAATGTAAGAAGAGTTGTGTGTGTGTGTGAGTGAGTTTGTGTAACGGTAGTTTGATCTCGAAAAAAAGATTACGAAAAAGTGGTTTTATTTTTTGGCCAAAATTGATTGTGAATTAGTTTTGAAAGCTTAAGAGCCAGCTTATCAGCTGATCACCGGGGTCCTATAAAAAAATACATATAAACTATGCCATGTGGAAGCATAAATCGGAAAGTCATCATATTTTTATAAGCGGAAAAGAAAGTTTGATTTAGGAGCTTCGGAAAGTGATAAAAAAATGCAAAATGGGATATAAGATTTATCACTATTTCCATGGATTAAATTATCACCTAAAAATGAAGATTTGTTGCATGATTCTATATCTAGATAAATCAGCTTGTAATAAATAACGATTTGTATAAAGTTGTTGAAAAATTGTAGGGCTATAAATTGTAAAACAATCTGTGAGATCTTTAAATGCATATCATATTACTAATGATCTCATAAGATTATCTCATTTTCCTATGACAGCATCTAGGTTCAAAATCTCAGCTGTTAATTACTATCGATTAATTGTGAAAACTTTAAAGAATTTTAATTAGAAATAAACGTTGTGAAGCTTTATAATTGCTATTAAATTGGTAATTATAGGTAAGCTTGAAATAATTAGGTATTTTAATAAAAAAAAAATAGTAAAAAGTTTATCAGGATATGGATATTACATTTTATGATAAATATTAAAAATATTCAAAAAACTAATTTCCAAACAAAAAACCTAATCAACACCAGTGGTATGTTATGTTGTTAACCAGAAATAAAAATTGGCAACTTCCTTCAGCTGGGCGCCAAGTCATTAGCTGGCCAACCCGCCCACCCAGCTCTCCCCCCTTGTCAGCCCACTCGAAGTACCGCTATGACTAGACAGGCCTTTTTCCTATATATATTCGTATATATCTTTTTTTTTATTCGCTTGCAACCATTAGCCACCGCATCAACAAACGAGACGCCACACAACCACATGTGCACACTTGATCGGTTCAGACACACATAGATACTCAGAAAAAAAAAGGAGGATCGGTGGGGGAAAGGGGGCGTGACGGGGAAGGGACTTGGTGACGTTTGCTCTGAGGGGCCCCTTCACTTTTTGTTGTTGTTGTTGGTTTTTTCGTGGTCGGATGAAAAAGTTGCCGCAGCAAGTGCAATTCGCCGTTCGCGATTCGCATTCCGCTGGCCGAAAGTATCTTTGGAGTTTTGCATCTTGTGGATGTCTGCCTCGCTTAACTGTAAATTGAGGCATGTGCCCAATCTCCCCATCTCTTTCGCTCTCTACTCTCCCTGTCTCTTTTGTTTGTCAAGTTCAATGTGCGTTGACAATTTTCCATTTCCAAATGGGCAAATGTTTTCCACTTTGATTGTTTTTTTTTTAGTTTTATTTTTATTTTATTTTTTTTGTAACGGCTTCTTGTACTTTCACGCATTTGAGTTTTTTTTTATTGTATTTGTTCAGCTATGCGTGTATTTTAATTTATTTTAAATCGAATGGCAATTTCGATTTAAGCAAAAATAAAGGAAAACCCATGGCAGTTGTTTCTTTTATTTTTTTTTGCTCATTCAACCCGGAACTTAAAGTGCAAAGTGCCCAAAATCAGTCAGTCGCCCTGCACATCGCAATGTGTGTGGATGTATCTATGCATCTACGTATGTATCTTTCCATCTCCAAACGCAATGCATAAATCAAAGAAAGAAACAAAAAAAATCTCCGCTTCGTTTTTTATTTATTTATTTTTTATTTTACTTTTTTTTGTATTTGTTAGTTTTGTGAAAGCGCAAGTCTTTGGGATTTGTGTGTAGCGTAATTTTTACACTTTTACCAAAGAGAAAGAAGACGGAAAGATACGTAGATACTTTTTACATACGACTCGGTTCGGCTTGGCTCATAAGCATCTTTTCTCTATTACCAGCCCCGACATACACGATTCGTCGTTTGTCTTTAAGCCGCTTAATTGAAAGTCTTGACTTGACTTATGACTCTGAAGAAAAGCTTAATACAAAAACAAAATATATATATGTATGTATGAATGAAAAGCAAACAACAACAAAGGAAGACCTCAAAATGGAAAATGCTTTTCCACAGAGAAACTGAGAAAACGATGAAAAATATGATTTTATTGATATGAGCGGGAAACATTTAACTGCTTAAGCTTTCAAAACTTGAACTGCAATCTGACAACTGTTTTTATAGTGCAATAAACCCAACTAAGCGACTACTGCTAGTAAAGTGATTTAAATAATATGCCGATGAAGTGCCTAAGCTAATATCCGCAAATGTTTTTATTTGCCAATCAGTATCAGTGCCTGTGCTTCAAAAATCAACAAAACCAACTGAATCTACGTCGGACTTCTGTATAAGGTAAGATAGAATTCAATTTAATAATCTTTGCCTAGTTTAGTTTTTTTTTTTTTGTTTTTTGTTTATTTTTGCATATCCATTTGTTAACTCGTTTGCGATGTCTATTAACGGCATTCAACGCTCTGGGCCGTGAGCTCATCTTGTATCTCAAAGACACATTCTGAATCCAAAAACTTGTCAGTGATTCATTGTTCACGGCTCTGTTTTTGTATTTATTTACAGTTGTGATATTTTTTCACTTTGCATATCTTGGCATGCAATTCCGTTGTTGGGAGGCCAAAGACACGTTCAAATATTTAATCAGTTAACAGTCGCGGTTTTTGGCTTAGTTTGCCCAACTTTCCTCCCCCGAGCCATCATTTATTGTTGTTAACTTTCCAAGTCGCTGCACATCTTTTTCCCCCACTTGTCAGACTCAATGTCAAGGTTGCTATTGTGGTTGGCATGGTTATTGTTTCTGTTTGTTTTTTGTTTTTTTTTTTAATAAAAGTAAAACAAAATTTTAAAATGCCTGAGTAGCCGGCTTATTGTCGATTGTCTGCCGCTAATTGAAGCTCAACACTTCTCAAGTGGAACGAACGCCCCAGCAAAATTTTAAATTTTGTAATTGCTTCATTTTTCGGACAAGCTTTGAAAGATATTTTACAAAAATAAATTAAGTGTGGCGAGCAATTAGTTGAGTCTTAAGCTGGCTATTTACAAAACGTAGGCAGATTAATGGCAGCCAATGAAGAGATTGCCGTGATGAACGTGAGCTGGAGTTGGTCGGTACATTACAGGTAGCCGAAGCTGGTGGGTTGTCACACGGCAGATTTCAGATAACACTAAGGTGGGAAACTATTTTTACACTCAACCCATTGTACAAAATAAGGCAAAGATGGAACTAGCCCTGATGAAGCTTTAATTTTCCACCAAACTGGAATATAAATATTAAAGCCATCACCTCTTATGTTTCAAGGTTATGATTAAGTATCGATAATTGTGTCAACGGCCATCAAAAGCATCTATCAACATCGGTTGCCACCGCCAGACTAACATATTATTAAGATTATAAAAAGTATGGTCAAAATTGCCGGTCAATTAATAAGCCATTAGGGCAAAGATTTAGTTCTAGCCCAGAGCAAAGAATTCTAGCGTTTATCTGTACCGTTTGCTATTCTTTTCGATTCTTTTCTAAGAATCTTTGCCCCCGAGCACTGGGATGCGGAACCGTTAAGCATTTCACCTGGAGCAAGTGCCAACGAGGAGAGCCAGAAGAAAATGAGAAGAAAACTATCATAAATTTAACTTTTTAATGTTAATAAAACATTTTTACGAGTCTTTTATGTGTGAAAATTACGCAGAAGGGCGTTAAAATAAACGAGACCACGAGCTGTGGAACAGTTAGCCAGGTGTCAGGTGTAAAGCCAAGTTAATATAATACGTAATTACGGGAGCTTCATTCTTTCTCCAGATCTCTTTTAGGGTTTTATACTAAGCAGTACACTTGGAAAATATAGCTCATTAAAAGCTAAACCATTCGAGTTTACTGTATTGTTGATTGGCATAGTTTTTCTTCAAGTGTAGTTAGTACCTGCGGATCATGACTTGGAAATATGTGTGACTTTGGAGTGAGATGACATCGTGTAAATAGCCGGCGGAGAAAGAGAAACTAAACCGAAACTACCGAACAACAAGTGTAGAACAATAAAACGCGAGTCGGTAGAAACCTGGCCAAGTAGCTGGAACGTGGGTCACTGAACCTACCTACCTACCATCTACCGGCTTCAAATGCCTCAAATATATTTTAAACCATGGCATTAACAAAAGCCTTGATGGAGCGATATACTCGTGGATGCCCATATTACTGACCAGTTTTCGTGAATGGTTTTTATTTAGCTTGGCTTGAGGATAATAAACTTGCTAATATGGGTAATTTTAGTGTTTTATTATGTCACATGTTAATAGGATATGTGGGTGCGAACTGTAAACCAGTTATTGGAATGAGTCAGGGTCTTATAGAGTATTATATTGCAAACATACTCTGGTATTTTCTTCAACAAATTGCATTTTAATTGGTAACACTTCTTGAAATTAGCGGCAAGAATGTCCGGTTGGTAAACCGCTTCCAATAACTGTAACCAACTTGACAAACCTCGGGCCATCATTGCCCGCTCCCATTCGCCAAGTGGCCAAGTGCTGACCCACTCTGGCGGCGGTGTAGCATCCACACGAGATCGTTGCTCTGCGGCAGGCCATACAATGCGGTGTCATCAGAATCAGTCGATGGTTAATCGTCCAGTGTTCTCATTACACTGTCCGGTACTGGTCGGCACTGGTCTCTGGTGTTGGCCGGCAATTTCCGCACCTACTTAGCCGCCTCGCGTGTCTAACCGTAAATCCCTATTGACCCGTATTTCTCAACCGTAGTGCTTGACCACACAGGGCTGAGACTGTAACTTGATGAATGCAACAATTGTTTCCTCTTCGGCACTTGGCCTTTTCATTAGCTTCAGTTTCAATTTGCTGTATTTTTCTATTTCTTCTAAGCTATTTCGCTATTTGGCTATTTGCGCACCAAACTCTGTTGTCGGTCTCCAGCCATTTCTGCCTTGGTCTGGGCCAAGAAAAAACTTGTTTATGGCTCCTACAAGAATGTGGAAAGCAAAAAAACTAAACGAAACGAAACGAACGAAAAAAGAAATAAACAAAACTGGGTTAAAATTGTTAGACAACCTGAAGTTGCAGTTGCCGTTTCTGAAATATTGCAAAGGGGTCCCCTATCGAGTCTGGTCTTTCAGCAAATGGCCTCGCCAAGCGCCAAGCTCCAAACTCAAAACTCAAAACTGAACACTAAAGTGTGTTCGAATTGCAGGCACACATCGGGTGCTAAATAGAATGGAATGGAATTTATTTCTGCGAGGTATGGGAAGAGTTCGATGTGGGCTTTAAAAGCTTACCACATCATTACAAGCATTGATTATATTTAATTAATTATTTATTTTTAATCGGGATCGAAAAATTTGAGAAATACAAGTGAAGTTCAATATGATCTATAAGGAAATCCATATCTTTTTTGGAGGGTTGGTCCCCTTTCAAACTTGGGAAAATGCCCAGATGGGCATTATGACCCACTGCGATGACCATATCTTTGCCAATATCCACCGGATTCTCAAGCCGAATACCTTAAACGATTTCTAGGTGGATTTTCCACCAATCTGCGTTAAAATCTAGAAACAAAATATTTTTCAGATTTTTTGTCAAATTTTCTGGATGGTCCCCTTTGAAATTTTGGAAAATGCTCGGATGGACATTTCGACACACTGCGATGCCCATATCTTTGCCAATATCCATCGGAATCTCAAGCCGAATACCTTAAACGATTTCTAGGTGGATTCTCCACTAATCTGCGTTAAAATCTAGAAACAAAATATTTTTCAGATTTTTTGTCAAATTTTCTGGATGCCCTTTTAAATTTTGGAAAATGCTCGGATGGACATTTCGGCACACTGCGATGACCATATCTTTGCCAATATCCACCGGATTCTTAAGCCGAATACGTTAAATGATTTCTAGATTGATGCTCCACCAATCTGCATTAAAATCTAGAAACAAAATATTTTTCAGATTTTTTGTCAAATTTTCTGGATGCTCCCCTTTGAAATTTTGGAAAATGCTCGGATGGACATTTCGACACACTGCGATGGCCATATCTTTGCCAATATCCATCGGATTCTCAAGCCGAATACCTTAAACGATTTCTAGATTGATTTTCCACTGCGTTAAAATCTAGAAACAAAATATTTTTCAGATTTTTTGTCAAATTGTCTGGAAGCCTCCTTTTCAAATCTTATTAATGTCATTTTTTATCTTTCGGTTTTGGTTCCTAATCAACAATATTTTTTTAAAAACTGCTGCAACATAATCCCTGTTACTGGGCTGTTGCTTTGGGGGATTGTTTTCATTGACTTCTGTTTTGGTTTCGAAGCCACTGCACTTGCGCAAAGCCCGCGACACCGAAACCCTACAAAAGTTAACCGAAACTCGTCTTGGGTATGGTCAGTAATGAAATAGAGGCGAACGAAACTGAACTGAATCACAAACTACTTAGTATGCCCGGCCGAGTTCGACACTTATTCGACTCAAAAGAGGTGTGCAACGCAACGTTCGGTTTCAATTTGGTTGCCTGTTTGTTATTTCTGTTGGTGGCTTATTAATTACCTCACCGCACAATTGCGTGGCACATACAAAACACCCACCCCGAGGGGACGAAGAGGGACGGCGAGGAGCTGACGCTTTTGTAGAACCCGCAAATGGCGCTGGACAGTGGCGGGTAATACGGGTAATGACTTTAGAGGCCCGTAAATGGAAGCCCAATGGATAAAGCCAATATCCCCGAACCTGTTTGAAGTTTAAATTCACGTTTTTCTCTATATGTGTTTTATATATTTTATTTAAATTGTATTTTGATTGGTGGCTTGTTTTCCATAAACAAATGAAGAGCTCGAGAAAACTGAGAGTGACTTGGTGGATTTATTTCCATTTTTTCGCAAACTCGTTTTTGCATATTTCTCAGCTGACTGCTAACTGCTGTTGGTTACTTTCAAATGTCAAACGAAGTTGAAGGTGGTCCACAATGATATTTGATTTTTTCCCCTATTCCGCACCGTATACTAATGATTTATATTGAGTCATGTTGGAAATTAACAAGGTGCCTTGAAAAAGCGAGAAAAGAAAACAAAAGACTTAAGCAACAAACTTGTTTTTTTCTATTTTTATAAAACTAAGTGTCTGTGAATATCAGAAGGAAGGAAAAAAATGAATATGAAAAACAAAATATATTATGAAAACTATCTTAAAAATATTTAAAAATTTATAAATTGTTAATGGAAGTCATAAAGTATGTATGTGGAGAGAAAACTCGCCAACCCAGACCCAGACGAAATGGATATTAAAATCACATTAAAATTTTTACCTCTTCCATTTATCATACCTTCACTTACAATTCAATTAAATTCAATGCACGATGCGTACAAAATCCGCAGATGGCAAACAATTCCAAAAAGTCATAAGCAAAATCGTGTCCGTCTCGGGGTGAAACTTAATGAAGCCTGAGAAAGTTGCACAAGGCTCTGCCTCCAGCTCAGGTGACAATCATTAAAATAAGCCAAACAAATAGCCATCTAACTAAAACACAATAACCACAAACCAACTAAACTAAATAACAAATAAAAAAAAATGCGATAATTACTGGCAAATTTGTACGACAAGCGCAATGCCAGGCATGCAACAAATGCATTTTGAAGAGTGGCTGACAGCCAGCCTCAAAGCTTGAGGCGAACTTATTGCATTTTCATTTATTTTTCGGCCAAGTCTAAAGAACATCAAGTCTCGTCATCCATGGCAATAAATTCAAAATAGACTTGGTTTGGGCTCGCTTCGGTTGCTGCAGCTTCTCGGGTTCTGCGATGACCCAGTTTTATGCAAGTGGAACGCAATGACCGACAACTGCAACTTGGCCACCAGTTATTGACCATAAATAGTCGGGTAGCTGCAAGAAAATTGAAATACGATGGGATGTCCATAAAAAATAAAAAGAACCATTGGGGTAAAAAAAATCTTGAATTTCAAGTACAGACTTAAAATTAGCCTATAATAAATTTTACTATTCATTATTATCGCGCTTTCCCAGCTACTTCACTCAATGAGCCACCACCAACTCCACGTCTTTCTCAATGAAGTTTAGACTTTTATTTCACTTCGAAAAGCTACTCAAGTCAAGTTTCATTCTGAGTGGAAGAGCGCTAAGATGGCCAAAGAGAAAAACTTGTTTTTTGGGATGCTGGCCCAGGCCAGGCTTGGCAGAACTTTCTTCTCATTGATTCTAGTGGCCTGCATATAAATAAATAAATTAAAGAGACTTTCTTTCTGACAGGGTGTGCGTGAGTCTGCGGTTTGGTGTCATCATCTATTCAGCCTTAACTTTTCAGTTTTGTGCTCTTCTAAGCTAACGCCTCACTTCGGCTGACCCAAATACTTGGAAGCTCTTTCTTCGGGGTCAGATCGGAGATCGGGGATCGGCCAGGTTTTTGTGCACCTTGTGTCATTATTGTTGTTATTGGGTTTCGGGTCTGGCGATGGTTGTTGGTCCAACAAGCGGACAGATTATAAACATCAACCCATTTACAAGTATTTCCAGTCCTCTCGCTCCGCATTTTCGATTATACGCATCTTTATCGGCATCTTCATTAGTTTGACCCAATTTCCTGGGCCGAGAGTTCTTTTTACTTTCTATTTTCCCTCGATCGTCTTGAGAATGATTCGTGGGCTGAACGTTTTTATGGATCTCTCTTGTTAGGCCGTTGATTTGGGGAAGTCGATTTACTTTCATTTGAGGAAATTGTTTTCAGTTTTGGGTGATTATGATTTATACAGGTGTAATCACTTCCGCTTCAAGAAATTTTACAAAATATATGGGCTTATAAATAGAAAGTTTTAAACATATTTAAAGTAGCCGAGCCAATGGCTTTACGAAACGAAATTAACCTGTGTTGACCCTCTAATGTGGTCAGCACTTTGTGATTACCTGTTATAAAGAAGACTCCTCACATGCGGTTTAACCTTTAATAAACCCATTAAACTTTAGCTTGGCTCGGGTTTTATGGGTCGTGTTAATGTGCAAACGAGATTGCCAATTTCTGAAGCCCATATAAAAATTATAAATCTCACAAATTGAGACTTCTGATAGATTTATGAGCAAACGAAATGGGGATTTTTTTCTATTTCATTCTATATTTCAGTCGAAAAGAAAGCTGATCGGATCCGATTCGACAATTAACATAAAATTTTGATAAAGACAGAACATCAAAGTTGTGCGAGAGTGTATTGTTGAATGCTAAAATGATATTTTTCTGATATATTGACAAATGGGTTCACGATCTTTTCTCGAATCTGGGTCAAGTGTTGATAAAGGGCTTTCGATCGCTAACTCGGAATATGCAAAGAAATTTCGGCTCATTCCGCTGATAAAATAATTTGATGGACAGTTTTAGAGAATCATTAAGTTTTTAATGTTTCTCATATATATATATAGGTGGTATATATGGGTTTAAATATTAGGATCGGATGGCTGGCCTATAAGAACCGTTAAATGGCTAAAGCAGCCCGTCAGTTGGCGTTTGCTAAGCGATTCGTTCGGTTCGATTCGCAGAATGATATTCAATCCGCCAACTCTTGTGTTCCTTGTGGCTCTGCTGTGCGATTCCAGTTGGGCTGCCTATAATTATAGGCCTTCTAGACCACCTTCCCGCGGTTATTTCTATCCGAAGCCAGCGCAGCCAGCGCGACTGCCACCTCTGCCAGTCAATGGCACTTCCATATCGGACTCCAATGACTCCTCCGGCCCACCGCCTGGAGTCCAATCCGATTTCATTGATGATCTGATTGAGGGCCACAAACAGCAAATCTTATCGAGTGTGCTGGGCGTGGCCAGCAGCGAGACTCCTTCGGACCAGGCCAGCAGTCCCCTCGCCCCTCCCCTCGAGGGCGGTGGTGCCAAGGCGTTCCGCGTTAATCGCTGTGCCAGCTGCAGTGAGTAAAAAAAAGTGTTGTGGAAATCCAAGCGGGGAATGAAACGAAAACGATCTTCGGCTAATCTCGGGCTAATAATTGCGAATTTGAATCGGTTATTGGAGAGCACTTTGAGGCGAAACGTGTTACCTGAATCGTGCTGCCACTTAAGTGAATAACTTAATCTCCTCTCTAGTTAGTGCCATAAACTATAAAATAGGATACTAATTAAATTAAATTTAATTAATTGTACTATATTATTATTTAGGAAATTATTGTACTATAGTCCATATAGTCAAACTCTAGTTTCATTCCCTGATTTCCGACTGCAAGACTCTAGTATCCCCCTTGTGACTCCCTAATCCAATCCATAACCAAATTACAGCCTGCGGCGTACCAAATGTGAATCGCATTGTGGGCGGCACCCAGGTGCGGACCAATAAATATCCCTGGATAGCCCAGATCATTCGCGGTACCTTCCTGTTCTGTGGCGGAACTTTGATCAACGATCGCTACGTCCTGACCGCCGCCCACTGCGTCCACGGCATGGACATGCGGGGCGTGTCCGTCCGTCTCCTGCAGCTGGACAGGAGCTCCACCCACCTGGGAGTGACCCGGAAGGTGGCCTTCGCCCATGCCCATGTGGGCTACGATCCCGTCAGCCTGGTCCATGATATAGCTCTCCTCCGACTGGATCAACCGATTCCACTGGTGGACACCATGCGTCCGGCCTGCTTGCCCAGCAACTGGCTGCAGAACTTTGACTTCCAGAAGGCCATCGTGGCGGGCTGGGGTCTCAGCCAGGAGGGCGGCTCCACGTCCAGTGTCCTGCAGGAGACGGTGGTGCCCATCATCACCAATGCCCAGTGCCGCGCCACCTCCTACAAGACCATGATTGTGGATACCATGTTGTGTGCCGGTTACGTCCAGACCGGAGGTCGCGATGCCTGTCAGGTGGGTTGAAGGATCTTTGGAAACAGTCGAGCCAATATCGAATTGTTTTTGGAAATTTTCAGGGTGACAGTGGTGGCCCCTTGATTGTGAAAGATCGCATATACCGACTGGCAGGAGTGGTGTCCTTTGGCTACGGATGTGCCAAGCCAGATGCTCCTGGCGTCTATACTCGTGTGTCTCGGTACTTGGATTGGGTTGCCGTCAACACGAGGGACTCTTGTTATTGTGTTAACTGAGAGAGTCCTTAACAATTAAGCACTATTTATTTATATTTTTGTGAATAAAGTTTTCTACCAGTAATGTCTCTCAAACGGATTTCGAATCCAAACATTCCAATTCCCTGACTCAATCTATTTTTTCTGGCTAATCATAAGTGGAACGAGATTGACCCACGCAACTCCTTCAAACAACATCTGGTTTTACTTTCTTAATGCAAAGAAATCCAACGAAAATACAAATTGCACAAATATTTTGTGGAAACAGGTTATGGAAACCCTAGCAGAGTGGCCTTTCACTTTTTACCCCCCAAGAGTGTTTTGCGCGAAAAAAAATCAATAAAAAATCGAAAACAGAGTTGAGGTTTTATTTTGGAGCGAAAATTGAAGCCAAGGACATTGCCTGACACATTGTTATCACTTGTCCAGACTCCAGACTCCAGACTCGACGAGGCTCCGGCCAAGTTGACAAAACTTTTATCTTTATCCCTTTCGGCCCCGGCCGGGACAAGGCAAGTTGTGCCCGACAGTTGTTTAATGGATTTTCAAGTTATTTCTGGTATTTTGTTGTAGTTGCCTCTGCATGTCGCAGAAATACAGCAAAACAAAGATATCTCGGCGGAAAGAAACTCGTTTGTGGCTAGGGGCCAAAGAAAATGCCGCATAATTGCCGCCGCCGCCACGACTTTGGCCAAAAAGGCTGAGGGGGAGGCGGTCTGACGACAAGGGAGCGGCTCTCCTAGATCCAAGGGGAGGAGTGAGGAGAGACAGACTTGCCACCGAATCGACAATGTTGTCAATGCTGGCTGCACTGGCATTTGATTTTATTTTTAACTAGACTATAATTGATGCCCGGCATTGCAAGGGTTATCGAGAGGAATATATAGACAGAGAGAAGATCTTGGGAGGCTGTGGAAGGGAAAATTAGTGACGAGAAGTCACGGGAGTTCGGGGAAATGCTAAATTAGCCCTAATTAATAACGCTCTAATGAGAAAGAGTTTTCTAGTAATTTTTATGTAAGACCAACAAGGTACTAGGTCTTTATTAGCTGCCGAATGGATTAAAATCTTGGAATTTTTGTACATAAACTTTAAACTCATCATAATAATTTAAAAATGGTATATATTATTAACTTTTATATATTTTATTTATAATTATTTGATAAATTTTCGCTTAAACTAGTCTGGCTTTATACATTTATTTTAAAGAGAGTTCTTGACATCAAAATGAGTAATTCTTTTAATCTCGGATGACTTCTATTGGTTCTTTAAGGTCATTCCAAAGCAAATTATGAAATACTCTAAGGACAATAAGTTTGAATAACATAAAGTTTGAGTTATTATTTATAATATTTACTTTTCGCTTAAAACTTTGATTTCCTTCTATGCTCAAAGTTCACCCGATTGTCTCCTATTGCATTGCCGTAGCCGAAGTTTTCTTATAGAGGACATGGTGGACAGCAGTTCCTTTCGCATATTTGCACATTCCACAGAATATTCCACCGATAGGTCCCAGTGTCTTTTCGCAACTCGCAAGCTGGCGGGGATTAAGCTTCCAAATATATTCGTCAGCGGCTGAAGGAATCCCCGTTCGGTCGCGATAGGATACCGGCAGAGGTTTACGACAGCACCCCACGGAGTGTAGTCCTCGAAGAGGCGGCAGAGGGCACGGTAGGGTGGCCACACAGGCACCAGGATCTCCGACGCTGTCCGTTGGGTACCCTGCTGCATTCTGATTCTGGCCAGGATCATTCGCGATCGACTTGTCTGGTGGCATAGCTCCTGGTGGAACATCACCTCGTCCTCGATCAGGTTAAGTAAATGCAGGTAAAGGTCATCGAGAAGGGATTTGGCTTTTAGGTCATCTTCATAGCATCCTAAGGACTCTTCCATTGTTGGTTTTTCTTTTTAGAATTGGGATTTTCTCAGGAAACTTAATTTCAAGTTTAAGATAATATTGTTTCGTACGGAGAATGATTTTAAAATAAAATTTGACTTAAAAATCTGAGATATGGGAATTTGTTTTTGGCTTTTCAAATAAAGTCTCTTATTTTAAATGAACAATGGATTACCTTTTTTTTTATTACCATGTTAATTTTAATTATATAATCTAATTAGTCTTCATAATGTTAATTACTCTCCCAGAAAGATGAACTAGTTCACACTAGTGTCTCTTAAAACAAACTTGTTTGCCTTCGAATTTGTTTTGAAATTTAATTTTTTTGATTTTGATAAATGTATCTGATCTGCAAAGTGGCTAAGGGAGGGGGAGGTGCTTCGCTTCGTTGGCTAATTTAACATAATTCTCACATAAATCGCCAGCGACTTGGGTAGAGAAATTTTCACGCCTCGCTGAACGAATTTGGCTCGCATAGCAAAAAGCCACTTCTGGGCTTATTTTCTTGGACTTTTTTCATTAACTTGTTTTTTATTGTTTTTTAGGCTCAAACAACAAAAGCAAGTGTCCAAAATCGTACAAGACACGAGTGTTTGCCGCTTCAACGCGGCACTTTGCCGGCAGAAACCGCAAAAAATTTTAATAAATTGCTAGTTATTAGTTTCTTGCGGAGCAGCAGGAAAAAGTGCAATTAAAATGCATTCGAGGGGGGGACAAAGGAAGTTCCGCAGCGAAAAAAAATTAGCATAAGCATTGACTTTTTTTTACCGCAGAGAGGAGGTTGGGGGCAAAAAATAAAAAAAATGTTGCGCTAGTTTCCCATAATTTGCCCCAGCGAAGATAATGAGCAAGAAAGAGTAGTCAGGGGCGAGGAAAAGGGGACCTCCAGATGGGGTTGGAGGGGTGGTAACTGCGGTCAGTCGCATAGCAAATGGTGTGAAACCAAAATGGGGAAAAAATTTATGAAATCTGTATCAAAAGATACTTTTATTAAGGTATCATAAGCATATACCATAAGCATTAGCATACATATAGTAATAAAACTGAGGATTATTTTCTTAAAATGGTATAGCCTATTTTAATAGAATCTAAAATCATTTCTCTAAGTGTAACTGCTTCTGTGAGAAAAACCGAGGGGCCGAGGTAGGGGATTTTATTTCCTTCATTGTTCATCCGCGCACTTGCTTTTTGTTGTTATTTTAATAGCCAGCGCTTGCAATTTGCATAAATGTTTTTAATTAAATGCATTTAAAGCATATTTTTCAAAACACACCAAGGAAATTTGTTAATGAAATCGAATGAGGGGGAAATGGGAAGTGCCTTAAGTTAAGATTATTATGCCTAATATGGGAACCCGACAGGGAAAGCAGCACTATGATTATTCGTAGGGGAAGTAGATAGGGAATTTAAAAAATGCAAATATTAGTAAGAAAATGTTAGGCTTTATGTTAGGCAAATTACGAAATGCCAATGAAATTAAATTAAAGCACCTGATTGAAGAAACAAATCTCCAGACGTAACAATTGCCAAACTTTCCGATTGCATAACGCTAAAGTAAAATTAAGCTTAATCAACTCACTTATCACTCCCTTGTCACTGTAAACTAACCATAAAATCAAGACAAAGACGGGGGCGATTAACTTGTTTCACGAACTTTCAAAACGCAAGCAGTTACCCCAAAAAGAAAACCCAAAGATCCCACACCAAAAACTTTGCCAAAAAAAACAAGAAAGCAAAGCTAACTTCGGGCGGAGCCGAAGTTTATATACCCTTGCAGCTATAACCGGATATATATCGCAAACATCGGATATAGTTGGCCGATCCTTATGATTACATCATAAAAAAACTAATTAACTAAAATATAAAAACTAAAAAAAGGTCCCAAACTTCTATCTTCAAAAATACGAAAGTTGATATTTCTACCAAGTACCATTTCCGATCGTTCAGTTATATGGCAGCTATAGGATATAGTCGGCCGATCCTAATGAAATTTGGTAGGTTGGATCAACTGGCCAAAAATAGAATCTCTATTAAGTTTCAGCTTTCTATCTTCAAAAACACGAAAGTTGGGTCATTTCCGATCGTTCAGTTATATGGCAGCTATAGGATATAGTCGGCCGATCCTTATGAAATTTGGCATGTCGTAATGTTTTGCCAAAAATAGCGCTCGTGTCAAATTTGAACTCTCTAACTCTAAAAACACCAAAGTTATACCATTTCCGATCAATCAGTTATATGGCAGCTATAGGATATAGTCGGCCGATCCCGGCCGTTCCGACTTATATACTGCGTGCAAAGGATAGAAGGGTGTGTGCAAAGTTTCAAGACGATAGCTTTAAAATTGAGAGACTAGTTTGCGTAGAAACAGACAGACGGACAGACAGACAGACGGACAGACGGACAGACGGACATGCTTATATCAACTCAGGAGGTGATCCTGATCAAGAATATATATACTTTATAGGGTCGGAGATGTCTCCTTCACTGCGTTGCACACTTTTGGACAAAATTATAATACCCTCTGCAAGGGTATAAAAAATACATATACCTCGATTCAGTCTCAGTTATTTCCTTCCTGTGCACGACCAAATGGCAACCGCAAAGCTACCACAAAAGTGCAAAAAAAAGAAGCACATACAAAACAATTTATGTCAACTTTCTTTTTATCAAACAAAAAAAAAGAAGGAATCGAGCAACGTGTTGCAAAACGGCGGAGCAACGAAATTCCAAACAATTTTCAAAGCCACCGCAAAAATCTTGCACCACACCGACACCCACACAACAGTCATCCAGTCAGGTGGGTTTTTTCAACAAAAGCTAAAATGAAAAAAAATAAAATCTGAACAGATGATTTAGCTACGGGTTTTTTTTTTCTATAGTCTCTCCACAGGTTGCAAGTCGAGTGCAAGAAAGTTGCCAAATCATGTTGCAGCTCCTTCCTTTGCCTTTCTGCCCGTTTTTCCCGGTTTTGGCCATCTTTCGGTTACATTTTTTGGGGGAGAGTAATCGAAAAGTATTCGATGAAGCTCTGCCTTGGCGGACAGGTGACCAATAAACACGACACTGGTCGGTTCAGTTCTTAAACTTGTTTCAATTTACTGTATTTTTACCGCTACTGTCATACTTTCCTACCCATATACCCTTTCAAATAAGGAAAAGAGTTAAGCTTTTGATTTGGACTTATGATTTTAAAAGGCCTTACAAAAAGAGATTAAATATCAATACTATATTTGTATTTTTTATATATACTTTCTATTATTTTTTCACTTTAATATTTTATTTTTAAGATTAATTGCTCTAACCCCAACAGTCTATTGACTTTAGCCTTAGAGCATTCCATTGCCAGATATTCAAGGCTTTTCTTGTAAAATCCTTGTCTCTTTTTTTTGTGTAACTTTTTTAGCCATGGTCCTTAACTTTTTTTTTTATTTTGCTATAACTGTTGTTTTATCCGCGTACCCCGTAATTACCAATGACGGGAGCAGGAACGAGAACTGGACCGCAAAGGCGGGCCAAATCAAGTTTCTGGCTCAGCCTGCACATCACAAATTTGAAATCAGTTTCATTATATAAATTGTTACCTTTAGACAATGTGGCAGACAGTTTGGGCTTGAGACTGTAGACCGAAGCCCTCATTGAGCCAGTTTTTTTTTTGTCTTGTGAGCTGTGAAATATTTCTCCTTCTTTGGCTTGAAATGGCTTACAATTTCTGTGCAGTATAATGTCAAAGTTGGCATGGCTTTTGGTGTGAAATGAATTTGATTAAGGCAACAATTTCTTCTGTTTTTTTTTTGGCCAAAAGTAGCTCAAAGCAACACATTTGACTTCAATTAGACAGCGAGCACTTACCAATTGCCTGGCTCCCTTAGCTGCCCTTCTAGTGTGTACGGAGTTTTTCTTCATCTACTGGTCAAGCAGCTTCCTCCTCGAAAATGGCAAACTGTGTCAGTCAGCGCGACTTTGACTGGCATTCGCCTGCCATGGCATACCATCCTCTATTCCCATCTCGCCATTTCATCCGCGCCCCATTTCGCCTTTTTGTTTGTCAGATGCACTGGGGGAAATGGGGATTTATTTAAAAATATTTGTAAAGAAATATTAAATATCCAAAAACATAACATAAAGGATGAGAAAGGATAAGCAGTTGGTATTAGGCTGAAGATAACCAGATCGATCTATACCTCTTCTAAACTCACAATTTCTCAAACATTTTGTTAGAAAAAGGCCTAAGATAAATTTCTTTAAATTTATTTAATTTTTTATATTTAATACAATTATTTCAAGTGATTGTCCACCATTGGAGCCTTCCTGCCTGCCTGCCAGTCAGAGTTACCAGTGTCCATCCGGATCCCATTGCCCCAGCCCAGATTGTTCATTTTTGTTTGCTTCCCGTGGCCCCGCGGCCTCCCTAACTGTTTGTGCTTTCCCAAGTGTTGACTGACAGGTGCCGCCGGAGAATTTTTGGCGCTACAAAGTGCATAAATAAAAATTTTTCCAACTCTGTTGACAGTAGAACATGGCAGCAGCAGCCAAGGAAAAACTGTTCCAAGGCAACAGAAAAAAATGCATGGTTCCCGTGCATCTATCCCAACAGCCATTAGTTAGATGACTGAGCCAAAGGAAGCGGAAAGAGTTATGGCCAAAAAAAAGTGGGATGGCGCTTTAAAAGTCAGACATCACAGATTTTTGTTAGATCTAAGGTTTCACTCTCTAAAGTTAAAGGTTAACCTTTACTAAGAGGGTTTTAAAGTTGCTTTAGCTTCTACTTGAAGATGTAGAAACTAAAAAATTTTTTTATTTAGATATATATCCTAAATAACTGTACTATATAAGCCAACATACATTTTCCAGGATATGTAAATCTGCAGGGATTGCAAAACAACAAAAATCCTTTATCATTTCTTAAGGAAAACATAGTTGTTTACAATTTAAAAATCTTAAAATGTAAACCCTCATATTTCCCTTGCCTACTTTTAAGGGCGGCCAGAAGTAGAATAGTAATGAAGAGCCAAATTTAACGCTTTGTTTGCGTATAATAACTTTTCAAAAGATGTTTTAATTTGGTAACTATTTAATAAAATTTTTAAAAATAATTAATTAAAAAATAGCGCCCTCCTCCTCGATTCTCATTGGTTGCACCTAAGCAGGCCCGAAAATCCAGCAAAAACCTTTTTTTTTGTTTTCTGGTTTTGTTGTTATTGTAAGTTTATGGCCTTGTAAGCTTTGCTTGTTGTTGTAATTTTTTTGTTGTTGTAATTTTTTTGTTGTAATTATTTTTGTTGTAATTTTTTTGTTGTAATTATTTTTTGTTGTAATTTTTTTGTTGTAATTTTTTTGTTGTAATTTTTTTTGTTGTAATTTTTTTGTTGTAATTTTTTTTGTTGTAATTTTTTTTGCTGTTATTTTATATCAAATATATCCGACTATGTCTTATGGTTATGTCTTATGTCTTTTCTCAATTTTTATTAAAATAAACCACTTTGATAATAAAATACCGATGCTATCTCCGATACTTGGAGTATGTATATATTCCCTCCGACATTTGCAGTACATATTCCATCCGATATCATCTTATAACTTTAACTGTAACTTAACCGCAAAGGTACATACATATGTACATATATCAACTTTGGCTACCACGATCTTTGGCTCCTTTCGTGTCATTAAAAAAAATTGTTTCTTGTATTATGTACATGTTACATTTTTACGTCGAGTTTTACATCATACATTTTGTACATCACCCGCTTGGTGGTATGAAACTTTGCTTACACCAACAATCTCAACAACGTGTTAATATTATATTTAAGCTTTACCCAAGACCACAACCCAACCACTTTCTATTTTAGCCAGTTTTTAAGCCAACGATCTTGGCTGGACTGAAATAATAAAATGTACTATGAAAAAAAAGAAATTTAAATGATTAAATTTTATAAGTTTTTAAAGTTGTTTTATAAAATTTCTTAACTAGAGCACTTTTTAATATAATTAATTTTTTCATCCATTTTTCATTTAGATCTAACAAAATGGCCTCAACACCAAAAGCTAACGGCACCACAGCAAAGACAGCAACCATAGCCGACGACTATATAACCGTTGTGGAAGTCGACGATCCCACATCCTCATCCAAGGACAGCGATCGTTTGAAGAAGCTAGTCAAGCGGCAGAGCTCCGTGGCCGAGGACTCGTCCTTCATCACAGTTCTTACAATAAACGAAATGGAGCTGCTGCAGCAGCGCCGTCAGGAGGAGCAGTCCCAGGGGAATCCTTTAACTGCGATACCGATCCAAATGAACGAGGATCAGGTGGAAGATGTAACAGTATTTCGCTTGCCGGGCGAGCGACTTGGCTTCGGGCTGAAGTTCCAGGGCGGCACCCGCAGCACAGAGCTCGTCCAGAAGCTGTACATCCAGTCCTGTGCCGCCGACAGTCCCGCCTCCAAGGTGACCACCAGTTGGGGAAGCCTCCGCGAGGGCGATGAGATCGTCAGCATTGATGGGCGGGATGTGACGGAGATGACACGCATCGACTGTGTGCGAGGCCTGAAGGACAATGTGGCCATACAGTTGGTAGTGCGTAATGGACATGGCCAGAAGCCGCCCAGCGAGGAGGACCCCCAGCAGTTGCAGCAGCTGGAGCAGCTCTCGATCACCCTAAACGCCCAGCCGCCGCCACCGCCTCCAGTGCCGCCCAGGAAGCTGGTCAGGCGACAAAACTCCAAGGAGAACCAGGCCCAGCTGGTCATCGAGAAGCCGCTGACTCCGCCGCCAGATGCGGAGTACTACATCAACCTCCTCACGGAATCCATCAAGGCGGGCTCCGAGTCAGACGACACCGCCAGCACCATATCCACAGTAATTGACAAGTTCTCCATGGGATCGAACTACTCTTCCGACAGCAGTCTAAATGGACACGAGCTGGCCAAGGTCCTGCAACCGTTCACCCTACTGGAGCAGGAGTTCCTACCCTTGGAGCAGCCTCTGGGGCATCCAAAGTTACTTATCCCCGGAAACAACTACGAGAATGTCGAGTTCAAGACCGAGAAGGTGAACGTCTACGAGAATGTCGTTCTGAAAAGTCCCGAGACGACGCCCACGCCGAAGCCACGAATCCAACTGGCCACAGTAGAGGCTAAGAAACGATCCATCATACCCATGCCGCGGAAAATACCTACTCCCACAAAGCTACCCATCGAGGTGGCTCCGCCACGAGTTCCCCCAGTGGAGGAGCCCGTGACTCCGACTAACGAAAAGGATGTTGCTCCCAAACTGGATTCGCCAAAGACACCCACGAACGGAGTCCCCACGAAAGACTCGCCCGGAAGTGCCACAAAGATACCAAAAGCCAACTTTTCAAGGGCCAAGACAGAGGGCGAGATCAAGCTGCACTTGCAACCCGTGAAGCAGCTCTCGCCGCAGGTCAAGTCCCGCATTCCCGTAGTCACAACTCCTGTCCAAGTCCAAAAGCCGGCGCCCAAGTCACCATCACCTGGCCCGAATGGCACCTCACCTGGCTCGAATATACCGCGGCTGCTGCAGAAGCAGAAATCCGAGACGGATCTCAAGTTGAGTCTTTACCGCAGCAAGTCCAAGGAGTCCAGTCCCAGGCCTCCTCTGCAAAGAGCCAACTCAGCCGAGGCTCCGGAAAGGACCTTCATCCCTGTCCTGCTCAACGGTAGTGGCTCCAAGAACTCAAACTCCCTGGAGAGCCTGAGCTCAAATTGCAGCAACAGCAGCAGCAGCAGTGGCCGATCCCCCAAAGGACCTAAGCCCAAGCCACCAGAGCGGGTGCAGTCCCTGCAAAAGACCCAGATACCCAAGCTACAGACACTGCCAACGACGCCACCACAACAGCAGCCCAAGCTCACCATGCAGACCTTTAAGCAGAGTCCTCCGACGCCCAGGACTACGCCGGTGGGAACTCCATCGCCCACAAGTAACCGGGAGATTCGCTTCAAGATTCAAACGTACGAGAGCAAGGAGCAGGACGAGGACAAGCTACCGAGCCTTTTCGACCTGGTCCACAGTCAGGACAAGGACAAGGAAAATGACTCCCTTAAGATGCACAACAATATCACGGCTCTCCTGGCAGCCGCCGCCGCCGAGGCTGCAGATCTGTCCCGGGAATCCCCACCACCCCTGGTGGTTGGCAAATGCATGAAGATTGTGGACGACAACCAGAACACCACCTGCTACTCCAGTTCCAGTAGCGGGGAGGAGGATGAAGACGACCTGGATGCCGCCAACCGAGAGTACATTTGCGAGGATGGCGAGAAGCTGGGCCCGCCGGAGCTCATCAATGGCCCGGGGCCCTCGGAAGCCTACTTCAATATGTTCTGGCACTCGAATATGCTGCCCACTATTGGAGAGGTGGAGGAGGAGTTCTCCTCCCTGGAGCCACAGTCCCTGACTAATGGGTGAGTACAAAATACTTTCCAAACTTTAGATCTTTTTTTTTTTTTTTTTTTTTTTTTTTTTATCAATCAATCAATAGTTATATTTAAAATCTGTCCGAAGTTATGGACAATAATTAAATTGTATAATGGGACCTTAACTTAATGAAATATTGAGTAGTACAATGTTTGCTTATCCTAGGAAACTAATTTTAACAGTAGACCTTAGCGATAGAATTCAAGTTAATTATTGTCGGGCCCTTTAGTGGGCCTTGTTAGTTTTTCAACTGCAGCTCAGTCCCGTTCGCCCGAGTGGCAGAGGTCCAGTGGGTGGGTCCGTTTCAGCCTCCTTGTGGTGTAGCTGTTGTCCAGAAGATTGATGGCCTCAGGGTTAGGATGTCGGTCCAGCCTTACCACGTACCTATTGGCGAATCTCTGAACTTCTTCGCTCACATATGGGACTCTCAGTTGGGCGTGGATTGTCGCATTGTCGTGGAACGGATGAGCTCCAGTTAAAGTTCTTAGGGCCTTGTTTTGGGCGATCTGAATGATCCTTCGGTTGCTTTGACACGCCGTCCCCCATAGCTGGATACCATATGTCCAGATTGGCTTTACAATGGCCTTATATATAAGGAGCTTGATTCTTAGCTTCAGCCTGGACCTCCTTCCAACTTTAGATCTAATCGGTCTGACTCGAAGTTCAGGAATTTTCAAATAAAAAACGATTATAATGCTTAGGAACATAAAGGGTGAGGGGTGAAACTTAGTAGATAGTACTAATAGTACACCTTTTGTAGAAAAGGTGGGGGACTTTTGTGCAATTTCATCAAGCACCCATGCACACACCTATTGACAGCTCATAGTGCTAATCGAGGGTGAAAGGGTAAAGAGGAAACCCCCACCAAATAAAAACCAAAAAGAAGCAAATAAAAAACAAAGGCTGATAAGACAAAATGCCGGTGTGTTTACCAACACTCTGATATCTGATAGTGGCCAACAGGCCGATAAGGGAATGGCAATACGAAAATTGGAAGTGCCGGGGGGAAATCAGTATGATTTTGGTATCGCTGGGCGAAGGTTCGGGAATCGATTGAACCTGTCTCCGTTGACATTCCGGTGAGCAGGTGGTGATGGCAACAAGTCAATTAGCATATATCGCAACCCGCCGATAAGAATTCCTATAAGTAATTATAATTATGGTATTTGTGTGTTCTTTTATCCAGAAACCTCGTCAAATCAGAGGAGCCGAAAAAGGTGGCCAAAATGGAGGCTAGCGCTGGTGGACTGACCCAGCTGACTGACGATAAGATTTCTGACCATGACGTCAACGAATCGAGAGTGGAGAAACTCAACGAAACCACAACGAACCAGAGCCAGGAGAGCAACTCCTCCAGCAGCACTGTGAGGAGCCAGCGAACCACCACCACCACGCGGGTGACCACCACTAAGACCAGTTCCTCCTCCAGCTCGTCCTCGAGCAGCACATCCACCCTAATCCCGGACGTGGCCTTCAAGCTGCAGCCCTACGAGGAGCGGGAAGATGGTGCGGCGGAGCCAAGCGCCATCACCACGACCACCGTCCATGAAGAGCGACGTGTACAGAGCGAGGAGCAGACCCTCAGCGAACTGAGGACCCGGGATGCTGTGACCGGGAAGGAGCAGCTGGTGACCAGCGCCAACTCCAAGTCCAGCAGCGCCCGCTTCAAGAAGATCAGCAGCAACGACAACCTGCTCGACCTAGGCGACGAGCAGGAGACGCAGGAGCAGCCGTTGACCGCCACGATCACCCAGGAGTCGAGCCTGAGGGAGCGACTGGACTGTCCTCGGGATAACCAGAGTATCGAGCGCGGTACCCTGACCCTATCCGAGCGGGGAAAGCAGCTGAGTGCCAGCGAGGGGCTCACCACCTACACGGAGTGCGAGACGAGCGAGAAGGAGTCCTATTTAGAGGCCCAGCAGGTCCTCAACGGGTCTGAGTCCGCGGACGATGCCCCGCCCACCTTGGAGCGAGAGCTGAGCGAAACCCTCACTGTGGTGAAGGATGGCGAGAAACAGGTAACCAGGAAAGTGGAGCAGAGCAAGGACGTGGCCGGAAAGAAGGGCGCGAAGCTCCTTAAAAAAACCGACGAGGAGCGACGGCTCGAGCAGGAAGCCCAAAAGCTGATCGAGAGTTACCAAAAGGTCAAGAAGGAGGCGGAAAAGCTGTACAAGCTGGAGCTGGCCGACGACGAGCAGGGCTTCGACCTCAGTGCCTTCGAGGATGCATCGGTGGAGTCTCAGGCTCCAGAGGAGGTAAAGGAAGCAACCAAAGGGGAAGCTCAGCTCCTGGAGGAAGTCCAGGAGACCATTGTTCAGTTCCCAAACGAAGCTTCCAAAGAAGTTCAGGAGCAAGTTAAGGAGGAGGTTAGGGTCGTACACCAGGAAACCAAGGAAGAGGTTGAAGTCACCCAGAAAAAGGTCGAAAATGGAGTCGAGCTCATCCACCAAGAAGTCAAGGAAGAGCGGAAGGTCTCTCACCAGGAACTTAAAGAGCAGATCAAGGTCCTCCCAAAAGAGTCTCTCCCAGAGGTTCAGACCCAAGTGGAGGTAGTCAAGGAGGATGTCCAAGTTGTAGAGACCACCAGTCACAAAACCGAAACTCAAGAATCAACCAACGAAGTCAAGGTCTCCAAACAAGAAGCTATTGTCTCCCCGAAGGAAAAGGATGCCCCAGCTCTGATCTCTCCCAAAATCGAGGTCCTCTCCCCAGCTGTGGAAGAAGATCTGGGCTATGTCCTGCACAAGCACATTATAGCACCCAAGGACAACGTGAAGAAGGCTCCAACACCTTTGCCAAAACCAAAGCCCAAGCCACCGGTGCCCACAAACAAACCAAAACTCACAGCTGGGGTGACCAAACCGAAGACAGCGCCGCCTCCAGTGCCCACCAAAAGAACCGAGGTGGCAGGATCCGGCGGCAAGCCCACTCCCAGCCAGAGACGCAGCAGTCTGGAGAACTCCCAGCCACCCAAGCCTTTGGAGCGGATAATTGTGGGCGTGGAGCAGCAGCGGGAGGTGAAGGAGCAGTCTGGGAAGAGTGCGCAGCCAATCATTAACTTGGCCAGCGTCGACTTGCCAAATGTGGCATCCAGCCAAACCACCGTGGAAACGAGTGCCGTGGTTGAGTTGCCACCGGATGAACTGGTGCAGCTGGAGAGTCACCATCTGCCGGATGACGGCAACCAAGGGGGGCCAAAGGAGTTGCACAAGGAATCAAATGGCCTGCTCAGCGGTTCATCCTCCTCCTCGGTAGCCACACCAATATCCACGCCAACTCTGGTGTCGGCCACATCATCGATGGACTCGGTGCAAAGTGTCATCGAGGTCGTCAACGGCAGCCATCAGACGACCGACGAGGATGATGATGATGACAATGATGAGAATGCGGTTGCAGCCAGGGATGATGAAGTGCTTTTGCAGGCCGAAGGACCAAAGGAGGCCATCCCCATCGAGGAGGTGACAATGTTGTCGCTCAACAGAGAAAATGAATCAGGTGAGTGCGAATCAAATTTTCATTTGCTTTGCAATTCAAAATCAACTATTTTGGGGTTGGGAAAGGGGGTCATTATAGAAGTATTTAATCTTTAGAAATATTTGATTTAGGAACATAAAGTAATAATAATTAGGAGATCACATTCTCCTTTAGAGAAAGGCTTTATTTTATTTTTTTTAATACAAGCTCAAAATTGCATTATCCCTGCAGTCCTAATACTTCCCTCTCTTGAAAGTTAAACCTATTAGAGTTTGAAAATTTTGTTATGAACATGATGTGGCAACCGCATGGGATTTAGGGCTTTTCGTCCCACAAACTTGTTTACTTCCAAAATTTGTCCAACCGACACCCCGAGACTCCCGGCGAGTTTTCCCCAAAAAAACCCCCCCAACGACTCGACACACGCAATTATCGGACACCAAATGAGTTTTACAGCCATGGCCAGCAACTTGTCACATTGACCGCAATTTTAGCTTCCTCTAGCTGCCCCGCGGCCACGCCCCCGCACTGGCGCCGCCCCTGTTAGCCCTCCCAACCCATTGCGTATGCAAAACGGCCACTAATGGACTTTATGGCCAGAGTTTTGTTTGGTCGGTTTCGGTTTTTTATTCTAGGGTTTTGTATTTTTCAGTTTCGGTGCTTTAATGACACCCTCTTTCCATGTGTGGGAATAATGTTTTGGCTTTTGGCTATTGTTTTTATTGACCAGATTATGCTATGGAAATGAAGTTTATCTTTCAATTTGTTGGCTGTTAAGGTTTAATAAGATTAGGGCTAATTAGGATTAAAGAATGTAGGAGGAGGATGTATCAAGATCACCAGAGTGAAAGATTTTTTTAATTGGTTTGCTATCTTGGGTGTTTCCAGAAGACTAAATACACCTTTTTTTAGAAACTTAATTGATAAAAATGATTTGAAAATTAACCTACCAAACAATAAACAATTTTCCATTTAAATAATAAACAAAATGCCAGCCATTATGGCGAAATGAATCTGTGAAAGTTTATAGTGCGTATATTTCATTTCACCTATGGCCATTTCGTTTTGCCATAATAGTTTGGCTTAAATATTTCATGTGGATTGGATTTGCACCCCAGTTGCCAGGGTTTTTGCCCAGGAAAATTTGCATTTCATTTACGGGAAAATTCGAGAGCGTAGACAGAGCGAGAAAGATTATTCCTGCAGATGGGTAGAATGTTTTAATTAAACAAAAAAACAGGTAAATATTGGCACCAGTTCCAGTCCCCCATCGATAGTCTCGATAGTCTCCCTGGGATTCGAGCACGCGCCAAAATATTTACATACCAAAATGCGTTTTTGGGGAGGTGTTGGATATTCTGTGTGGGTTTGGATTTCTGTTCGGGGTGTGAAATAATAATGAAATTTGCCTGGGAAAGCCTCGTCACATTTGCATATGCCCAGAGACAGTGGAGACAAGTACATCAAAAGAGTGGAATATATTTAAAAGTTAATATTTATTCGAGACATATACGTTTTAAAAACAAACTTTAGATAGATTCCATTAAAAGTTTTGAGGGAAACTATTTTTTATAATATTAATAATCATAGAATTACTCCCATTGTAGGCCAAACATGTTTTTTCTATGCGAACGGACGAACCCCATTGCTTTTGGTATTATTTTCACTTGCCGCCTGATAAAACTTACAAAATAAGTTATTTTTTCTCATGGATATGTTCGCTGTTTCGGATTTTTCCCCTCGCATATAACAATATTTATATTTTTTTATCACTGCACTGGGTTCTATCATTATTTTATGTTGCCGCCGAACAAATTTGCAATTAAAACCTCCACAGAAATGTGAATTTTTCTTTCCCGCCCCAGGTTTTTGTATTATTTGTACCTTGAATAATATTTCTGGAATTTCATTTGGCTTCATAAATGGAAGTTATTATTTTTTTGTGTTTCGTAATTATCATTTGTGTGTGTGGAATATTTGTTGTGACCGTGGCTTGTTAATACCCAGAAAACAAACTGCATTGATAACGCCCATTGGAGTGTTTGATGGGGTCTGGGGTGCCTTTATCTGTTAGCAGTTTGTCTGCCTTTATGATGACCATATGGCCAAAAGCTAGTTCTTATCGGAATTGTAAATAAGTCAGACACCGAAATAAATAAAATCGATACTCCAGTGCCATTTTACAATGAAGGCTTGGATGGAAATGGGAGTCAGAGCCAGGTATGGGCTGACTGACTGACATGCATTTCAATTGCAGTTTTCTGGTATAATTGCTTTTGGGTGGCCTGACCCCTTTTGGCCTTTTAATTGTTTTGGGCTAATGGATATTCATGAAAATGACCAATAAACCAAATGACCAATATAGGATAGTTGAAGAAAATTCAAAGGTGTTTCCAAATGAATAATAGAAATATTAAATACAAACACCTAACTCTTGAATCTTTATACTTTATTATTTGTATATAGACAGCTTTAAAATCTTTTATATATTTATAATTATTTTCTTAGTGCATAAGTCCAATTTTCTCAAGCCTTTGACCTGTACTTCCTGCTGTTTCTCATTGACAAGTTGGTCTTTTTATTTGAATAGTAATAGTTACATTTTCGACATTAACAGGTCGAATGTCCAGGAACTCCTGTAACACTTTCCCTCCACCCTCCACTCCCCTTCAATGCCTTGGTTGTGGGTCACGAATGTTGCACAAAATTTATTGCTTTTGTGAATTTCAAATTAAGGGGGGAAATACAATTAAAAGGCCTAAAATGAGGCCTATCTTTGGGAGTGAAATGCAAGTAGGGAATTGAATGAATCTTAGCGATTCTTTTTGCATGTTATTAGAAAATTATTGGGCAATAAAAATCAGTCAAGTTTTTCGAAAAATATTGTAATTAAGCCCATTTATGATCAATAATGTGGAGTCGTGTTTTGGGGGATAAACTTTTGCGCCGTGCAGTCTCCAGGCCCAGGATCACGTCTAAAACAAAAAACAGCAACTGGGCACTAAACTTAGAGGTACAGCGCACAACATGAATTATTTCATATGTAAAAAAATGGTTTTTCCATGAAAAAATTTGAAATTGAAAAAAATGTTTAAAAAAAACACACTTTTTTTTTCGACTTTGTTCGTCAAAAAAACATGTTATAACAAATAAATATGAAAAATCCTTTAATTCATGTTGTGGAGAATTTCATTTCAAACATAAAGCAAAAAACCGCATTCGATTTAAATGAAATCTCTGACCTGTACATTGCACGGCGACTTTGAAAACACGACTTTTCAGTAGAAGCGTTTAAAGTTTACCACTCACTAAAGTTTACCACTGACACGCACTCACTAAATTGCGTATTACTTTGAAAATAGGTACCGGACAGCTTTATGCTTTTAAAGGCTTATTCTCAGATATATTTAGAGTACATTAAGACAAAAAAAAATTTTTCGAAAAAAATAAATTTTTAATTGTATTTCCCCCCTTAATTTGAAATTAATTTTCAATTTCGATTTTCGCTGCAGTTCGGTTGGATTCAATTGGTTAGCAGTTTTCTTTTTTGCTTTTATGGCTGTTGCTGGTCAGTTGTGTTCGTGTAATTACATGCTGTTCCGATTGTTGTTGTCATTGGCGCCTCGGGGTCCTTTGATTAGATTTTCCAGCTAATTTTATTGTTATGCGGCTTTGCGGCTTTTCAATTGTTTCTGTTTTTCCCTTAAATGGCCAAAAGTATTTCCTGGCAGTCGGTTAAACTTTAAACTCTGGCCTCTTTTATTTCCAAAAGTGCATATCAATGTTTGTTCGATTTCCTTTTTTTCCTGCCAATCCGATTCCCTTTTTATATTTTTATTTTGGCCTGGAATACATTATCCACATATTGGCCAGTGCCTTGCCACGAATATATGAAAGGTAAGTGGCGGAATTTCGTGGCAGATACTCGGCATGAAAAGGCTTTCAGGTCATTCCTCAATCAATCTACTTATTCATTCGGTCTTCCAATCATCTTCTCAATACTTCAGTTCAATTTTTTATACCCTTCCAGAGGGTGTTACAATATTGGTAAGAAGTATGAAATGCAGTGACGGAGATATCTCGGATCCTATAAAGTATATACCCCATTTTCAAGGGATCCCATCACGAAAAATGGACAAAAAATGTACAAAATATTTTGTCTCAAGATTTTGATGCAGAATGGTGGCGAATCGATCCAGAAATCGTTTAAGGTACTTCGCTTGAGTATCGGATGAGAATTGGGGAAGATATAGTCATCACTGTGGACCCTATAGGGGAAAACGCCATTTTCAACGGATGCCATTACGAAAAATGGACAAAACATCTAAAAAATATTTTGTCTCAGGATTTTGACGCAGAATGGTGGGGAATCTATCCAGAAATCGATTAAGGTATTCCGCTTGAGAATCGGATGAGAATTGGGGAAGATATAGTCATCACTGTGGACCCTATAGGGGAAAACGCCATTTTCAAGGGACGCCATTACGAAAAATGGACAAAAAATCTAAAAAATATTTTGTCTCAGGATTTTGATGCAGAATGGTGGGGAATCTATCCAGAGATCGATTAAGGTATTCCGCTTGAGAATCGGATGCGAATCGGGGAAGATATAGTCATCACTGTGGACCCTATAGGGGAAAACGCCATTTTCAAGGGACGCCATTACGAAAAATGGACAAAAAATCTAAAAAATATTTTGTCTCAGGATTTTGATGCAGAATGGTGGGGAATCTATCCAGAAATCGATTAAGGTATTCCGCTTGAGAATCGGATGCGAATCGGGGAAGATATAGTCATCACTGTGGACCCTATAGGGGAAAACGCCATTTTCAAGGGATCCCAACACGAAAAATGGACAAAAAATCTAAAAACTATTTTGTCTCAGGATTTTGATGCAGAATGGTGGGGAATCGATCCAGAAAACGTTTAAGGTACTCCGCTTGAGAATCGGATGAGAATTGGGGAAGATATAGTCATCACTGTGGACCCTATAGGGGAAAACGCAATTTTCAAGGGATCCCAAATCTCTGAACAGTCAGTCATCAACTTCCAAATTAAAGGGCATTTAAAATCATACCTTTTGATATTTTATGGCAAAGTCTAGTAAAAGTTCAGATTATTTATAAAAGAAAGTTGTTTTTGGAAGATGGAATTTATTTCCTTTGATATTTGGACCACAGATTCCAGTACATCTTTACCGTTAGTAGCACTGCTCTGAGAGATCTGCCGATCTCAGTTCTCAGGCTTTATCATTTGGCGCAGCTAAAGTCATTAATGGATCTGCAGAAGACTTTCGGGGCTAACCCCATTTCACAGGAGCCGGGCCCAATCGGCTGACAGGTGAGAGGAGGGAGTTAGCCCGGTAGAAAGAAGGTGTCAACTCCGCAGCTCCGCAACTCTGCACTTTCAAATCCAATTAAGAGTGTGAACTTGCCCGGAGTCTTGGAAATTAACAGTCAGATAGCCGGGCACAAACAAAGTGACATTGTCACATTAAATGCGAAATGTGCAACAGTAGCTGCGGAGATAAGGGGCGAAAGAAGTCATTGGAGGTGGATGTGGAAATGTGCAGCCCAAACCTAAAAAGAAACACAGAACCCCAGCAGGACCAGGAGCCAGAGCCAAGCCCAGCTGCACTTTTGTGTCAGAAAGTTGCAGGCAGAAAAGTATACAAATATAGAAAACTGATGCACTCGAAAAAATATAGTTTATATAGCTAAAGTCTAGTTATATTTTTTTGGCTCTCAAAAACAGCATCTAATTTTCTTCGAGTGCCTTTGGCGATTCTGTCATCCAGCTAGTGTACCATGTTGCCTGGACTGGCTGCAATTATCACATTTCCAAATGGTCACGGACCACGAAATCTTAAGTTCAGATATGAGTCGACCCCCGACTTCTCGCCGCTTCAACTGCATATGACTTCATAAGGCTGGAAAGCCCAGCAAAGCCTCCGCCGTTCTCCTCGAGGGGTTCTCTCCCAGTACTCCAGCCGTGTGTGTCATAATTCTCGCCAGCTTGACATTTATGATGTGTTCGCGCTCATGTGATTTTTCCAGCCGACTCAGTCGATTTTGCCAGCCGATAAAACAATGGCCCCAGACCCATAATGTCTCTGCAAGCTCTAGCATTGGTCATGCTACGAAACACAAATAATTAACTTTGTGGGTTGCCTTTCAGGAGGGTTCAGAGTAAATTAAAAAGGGTCCACAGGAAGACTTTAGTTCATTTAAATAATGAACTATGCCTCTAGCCTAACATTCAATTAATGATTTACCTTAAGCCTGCCTACGATGGCATATTATCCCCTTGGTCATATCTCTGCCATAAAATTAGGAAATAAAAAATTGTTAAAGAACCCATTCAAGAGTACTTAAAAATAGAGTGATTTACGACCAGCATTCGCGCAGGGGCGAAATTAAGGAAAACGCTATTCAATTTCACAGTAAAGGGCTAAAAGGATTTTAGAGGCAATGCCCCATCATTCTAATTATACGATCAGTGCGAAACTTTAAGTGCAATTTGCGAGGCGAAGACATTTCTATTGAAACCGAAACCCTTTTGAGGCCAGCTAATAAAGCTAGCAAACTATAATCATAAAACACGAAACTCAATTACCGCATTTGCTGCTCAAGGCCACAAATAACCAATGTTACGATGCGTCAACATTTTCTGCAGTCGCGACGGGATGAGGTCCACAGGATATGGTTAAGAGACCGAGGGGCCCCAACTGGTTGAGGGAAGGTACTGGTACAGCGGAACCCTCTGAAGGTCCAGTTGGCTGAAAGTCTGCAAATGATTCATTGCTTTATTACCCCGAAAGTGAAGCCTCGTGTCTTCTTTTTATTCCCTGCTTGCATAATTATGCACAGAAACGCCTTGTCAGCAAAAATCGCAGACTCCTTTCCGGATCTTTCCCAAAAGCTTTTACTTTTGTATTTAAAAGAAAAAACTTTAAAAAATAAAGGAAAAATATTTATTTTTTTTTTATTTAATTTTCGGTTTGTGAATCCCTTAACAAGGTCACTGTTTTAGAGCCTTAAGACCTAAAACATTTAAAATTTAAGGCTCTAAAACGATGAGCTTGCCCGGAAGAATTCTAAAACGTTTTTAGAAAAATTATATGACAAAGGCCAATTAAAATAGGCCATGAACTGCTCGGAATGGACTTGGATCCATAATTAAACCGACCACCTCCTTCGGACCTCTTATCTACACAGGGACAAGCTGTGAGGTTTACATAGTTGTTGACCCTTTCGTTCTGGCACTCGGAACACTCCATGGGGACGTAGCCCGATTTCGGCACCACCACCTGGCAGCCCAGTTTCGGGGACCAAAAGCAACAAATCACCAACTGACCAGCTCTGTCGTCTAAAAATACACAAATATTAAAAAATAGTAGATTATAGATAATGCCCTGAAATACCTTGAACATCAAGACCTTCTGGTACACATACGTCCATATCATGAGTAGTTGGAGACATGGGTGCTGCTCTTATTTTTCTGTGACTGCCTGCCAACTCTGTGCCACAGCTCCATCCAGGAGCGGCCTCAATCACACACTTTTCATCGTTCTCCTGCCGGCAGTCGATACATACCGCTCCCCCCCATTGCGCGTTTGTGATCAGGGGTCCTAGAATCAGACTGAACAAAAAAAATACATACAATTTTGACATTATGATCAGGGAGGGAATAAGATTTGAATAAGAAAATAAGAAAATGTACAACATATTCTTATCAAATCATTCTAAGATTTCTACAAATTTTCTTAAAGTGTTTTTTTAGCAATATCTTGGCCAGTTGGACCTTGACTCCTGGCCATTTAAGTCCATTTTTTTTTTCATTTAACTGTCTTGTCAGCAGGATTAAGCAATTTTCAACTTCGTTTGCTCATTTTCGCGCCTCCTACTATTTACCAACTGAATCAGTTGGCTGTCCTTCCCACTTTTTTTTATAAAAAATAAAAAGGGCTGTGAAAGAATCACACGAAGCGTGAAATTTAATTAATTTGACTTCCCAAAGGATGCCCAAAGATGAGCTTAAAAATGTTGACTCATCAGATGAACTTGAATTTTATATTTTATTTAAAGTTTTTTCATCTACCCGGTCTGATGTACATATATGGATATATATTGTAACCGCAAAACAATAAAAACTCATCGTCAGTTCTTCTCACCCAATTACCAGCGACTTACATATTGATTTCGCCACCACAAATACTTGAAATTCGGTTTTGTGGCTTTGCAGTCCTGAGTCCTGGAGGCTGGAATAATAAAAAAAAAATATAATTCGAAATTATGCCTTTTTGCGTTTCGGCGGCAAATCTTGCGGCAATTATCCAACGCCTGTTCCATGGCCCAGAAGAAATCGAGGCTCTGCGGCCTCTATTTGGTGCGTTGTGCCAACATGAAAGCGTAAAATCGCAAAATCGCAAAATCAGTTAAAACCGCAGTAGAGTTGAAAAGGACAGCGAGGTATTCGATTCCCTGCCTCAAAAGTTGGTTGAGCAGCTCATAAATGTGAGGACACTGATAAAAATTTTCTTAACCTTTCGTCAAGGATGTTTTTATTATTTTTGAAGCCAAAGAAATAGTTTTCTTAACATCAACATATATTATTTAGATATTTTTGGAAACAAGCTTGAAAACAAAGAGACTGCCAAGCTAATAATAGTTTCCATTTCTTGATTTATAAATTTTAAACTAAATTATCAATAAGATAAATATTTAATTTTATGCAAGTGTGATTGCCGAAAGGCTTTTGGCATCCATGGTTTCGATTGCAAACGATATTTGCTCGACGCTGTGTTTGTGTTTTCGCTGTCCCAGTCACATCCTGCGTTGGAAATGGCCAGGATAGCAGGATGACAGCAAAGGGGGGCACTGGAGCAGGAGCAGAGGCACAACCGACCTATTGACATTGACAGTTATAGCCGGGAGTGTATTTATACAACAGCGCAGATATGTGGACCAGAAGTCACTCGATGAAAGGCGGTGGAGAATGGCGACCCCCTGACCACCAGTGCTGCTGTTGTCATGGACAGCATTTTGCATGAGTGGCCCGGTCTGTGGTTCTTGGATGTGAGTCTCTTCCAATGGCGTTAGGTTGATTAAAGTGGGTACAGTTGCTGGTTAAGATTTCTGGCCAAAATAGTAATACAGAGAGCTTTAAATTTTCATAAAACAAGAAAGGAAAGCTAACTTCGGGCGGAGCCGAAGTTTATATACCCTTGCAGCTAAAACCGGATATATATCGCAAACATCGGATATAGTTGGCCGATCCTTATGAAATTTGGTAGGATGGATCAAAATATAATCTGTACCAAGTTCCAGCTTTCTATCTTCAAAAACACAAAAGTTGGGTCATTTCCGATCGTTCAGTTATATGGCAGCTATAGGATTTAGTCGGCCGATCCTAATGAAATTTGGTAGGTTGGATCAACTAACCAAAAATAGAGTCTGTACTAAATTCCAGCTTTCTATCTTCAAAAACACGAAAGTTGGGTCATTTCCGATCGTTGAGTTATATGGCAGCTATAGGATATAGTCGGCCGATCCTTATGAAATTTGGCATGTCGTATTATTTTGCCAAAAATAGCTCTCATGTCAAATTTGAACTCTCTAACTCTAAAAACACCAAAGTTATACCATTTCCGATCAATCAGTTATATGGCAGCTATAGGATATAGTCGGCCGATCCCGGCCGTTCCGACTTATATACTGCGTGCAAAGGAAAGAAGGGTGTGTGCAAAGTTTCAAGACGATAGCTTTAAAACTGAGAGACTAGTTTGCGTAGAAACAGACAGACGGACAGACGGACAGACGGACATGCTCATATCAACTCAGGAGGTGATCCTGATCAAGAATATATATACTTTATAGGGTCGGAGATGTCTCCTTCACTGCGTTGCACACTTTTGGACAAAATTATAATACCCTCTGCAAGGGTATAATGAAGACACTTTTTGTCTGTTATTTGGAAGCCTACAAGAAAACCCCCATAGACCACTCACTAATCGATCGGGTAGCTATCATAAGCAGCAGCCAAAACCACCGTCCATTACCCACAGAATACCGAGTGGCACAAGACTGGTTGTATGCCCCACCGCAGACATGCCAGACATCCGCATTTTCGTTTGTAGAACTAAAGAATTAACCAAAAACAATTTTCCACTCAAGCAGCGGCAAGGCAACCATCTAGAAAAATGCCTCCCTCCTGCTCTGGCAGACCCAAGCCCCATCATATTGGCCGTGAGCGAGACGCATCTCACAGATGCAAATGTATCTATTAAACAGAAATCAGGCATAAGGCAGCAGCCAGGAGGCAACAGCCAGGGGGCCCGCAGCAACGAGCCGGGCTAAGCACTTCACACCAAAGTGTCAATTGCATTTTTGTGGTTGGTCGCCAATGGACGAGGCCCCTTCGAGCACTTAATGCAACAATAAAACAATCAAAGTGTCTAGAAAATCGATGGAAATCAACGCAGCCCCATCCGTTCTCTGTTCTGCCTTCTGCTACAGCATGCGGTATTCTGCGTTCTGTGTTCTTTAGGACCATCTCTCCAAGAGGTCCAAGTAGCCAGGCAGGCAGGCCACTTTGGTCAGCCAGCAGCAAATGGAAATTCAAAGTGAAGTGTGCGTATCAGCGACTGTCGCACTGCAGTGCATCCCGGTTTCCAGATTCCCGATTTCAGATCCCAAAGACCCAAGACCACACACTTGACGGACGGGCAGCGTGAAGCTCCTTTTCGATGTGGTTGGAGGCCCAGAGGCACTTGACGGTCCATTTGGTGATGGGCTGATCAGGCAACTATCGCGGGGCAACTATGCAAGATGATTATTCTTAAAGCCTTGTATTTAAATTAAATATTTTCTTATAAAAAATGAAGTTTTTAAAAAGTGCCATCTCTGGAACTGATCCAGGGGGCAACAATGTAGCATGTAAATGGCCGCCAGGCAGTGGCAGGGACCTTTTCACACCTCCCACACCCACTTGTGCCACCGGCTGGCTTAGTGTCAAGTGGAGGCCAGTGGCTCCAACTACCGATCCCACTCGGCTATATCACGTGGGTGTTAATTACTCATGTCCCCGGCTCAGAAGCATCCCATCATCATCTGCATCAGCTGAAGTTTGTGTCAACTAGGAGTGGGGATTTCGGGATGGCCTCAGGAATACCTATTACTGTTTGTTAGAAAAAGGTATATTGGTTTGAGGATTATATTCATATATATTTTTATGATACAAATTATAAACCTTTCAAGTCCCTTTTAAATATGCAATAGTCTTTTCTTGACTCTCAACTACCGGGTAGCCAATTGTCGAAGCCTTTCAAATAGAATTTGTTACTCGGTTGCGCTTGCTTTGCTTTTCTTTCAACTGGGAAGAGTGCAATCAACTTTGCCTGGCCATAAAAGCTGAGGCCCGGACAGTTTGAACAGACATTTTGGACAGTTTCGGACATTTGGAACAAGTTGAGGCGAGAGGTTCAAGGAGACCGCCAGCCGGCCCTTGCCACTCGCCACTCGCCTTTTGGCCAGCCCGCATCCTCCGATCCGACGGGAATTGGGATGGTATGGCTGTTGGGATACTGGTGGACACTGTTAAGGGACATCAAACAAAAGTTGAAGGGATTTGCGACCCGAAAATGGCAATGCCACGATGCCACATCTCCTCGCCTATTTGACTTGCTGGGGATTCAGTTTCGTTTTCGGCATTTTCGCTTTTTGATCATTTTTCAAATGCAGGTAGAGAGGCAGGAGACAGTTCGTGTTCTTGTCTTTGGCGTCTTTACTTAATTTTTTTTTGGTTTTTTTTTTTTGAAGATGGGGGCTACGGGAAGTGTTCTTGGGTGCATGACAAATTATTTGTTATGTTGCTTTTTTCAGTTCATTTATATTTTATGATGGTGCAGCGAAATGAGACATGTATTTCCGCATTCTAGAATGTTTAATGTTTAAGCTTTCATACTCTCCAGTTCGAGCAATTATTTTCTCATCTATTGACTCTCAATCCTAGTAATAAACTAATTTCCTGTTGATATGAGAGTCCAGCTTTCACTGCCAGAATATTCTCTACTCATGTGCCCCAAGCTAGTGTCACAGACAGACAGAGATGGGCTTTAAGTGACCCGGCTCGGACATTTTTTCTCGCAGGAAATTGCCACTCAAAACGCCACGCACACTTCCGTCAGCCCACTAGAATGATGAACAAACTAATCAGTATAAGGCATCAGAATCAGGGCCCACGAATATACACGAAGGATAGTAGTAATGCCAGAGCGCAGGTGGGGCTACGGTCTCTAATAGACCATGGCTAGAACATCATTTCGCTTTCAGCGGCTCGCCACAGCCACGCCACAGAAATTGAAATGAAAATTGCAAAAATCTTAGCAGCCACAGGAGGATGAGAAGGTGTAAGGAAAAACCACCGGGTTGCAGCTATGCAAGTTTGCAACATTGCAGCTTAGGAGCTAAACAACTTCATCTGTCCGGGAATCCGAAATGAATTTCTCCAGGGCGGAAGAGTTGTGTTGGGAAGCTAAGAACCGAGGCAGAAGAGGCAGCGGTGCGAGCCCAAGATTGACACAAACCAATTAACATTTGTTCCTTTTATTTCTGGTCTTTGGTCTCTGAATTTATCGCACGTTTGACTGCGTTTACCAGTCAGATCTGTCCGACTT